GAAAACCAAGAGCCAAATCGTACTTTATCTTAAGCTAATAAGTTGTGCCACATCAAGTGCCTAATATCCCACAATGGATTGGTGACGCTGGCAACCTTGTTGTGTGTGGGTGACTTCTAAGCGATAAGCAATATATATATATTTAAATGCTCATATTCATATATATATATAATATAATATAAATTTATGTACACTTTTTTCTGCGGGCTGCGGTCCAGCGACACGCTGGGATTCCGTAGAAACCCTCGGCTGGGTCGACTTGCGTTGCGTTTTGCGTTTATCAGCCTGTATCCTAATCGTTATATAAAAATATATGAAAATATACCACATAACGGGGCAAGTCGCCGCTTGCCTGCGCCGATTTTATAAGGCCACCGTCTGCCTCAGCCGGCATCAGTTAGCATCGGATTGTCGCCACAGTCACTGGACGGGGGAAATCAGGCGACAACTTTAAATTTGTCATTTTTTTTAAATTCTTGTTATAGTGTTTTTTTTTATTTAATTCTGATTATGAGAGCGCATTACATGTGAGTCCCTCATTTGGCGGACTTAGCTGCTTTTCAATTTGATATTGCTAGCTGCCTTGTGAAGGGCTTACGTGTGATTGTAAATCAACTGAGGAAAAATAAAATAAGTGTACAAATCACTGGATGGATATCTGGAGTGCATAAGGAAATCATGGAAAGCGTTTTTTTTTTCTTTTTTTTTTTTTACTTTTGTGAAGCGAAACTTTTGTAATTGCGCGCCAAGCGCATTGTTAGTTCTAACGCTGTTATGTAACAGAGAAATGCTCCTTGTTTCAACAGAATTACTCCACATTTAACATAATTGCTCCGCAATGCTCAGAACTATCTGACATTTTATAACAGAATCATCGATAATTGCGGCAGTATGGCATCGATAGTTGTGCAGCACTGGCTCCTACAGCTAGAACTAACAAAAAAAAAACTAATAGCAAAAAAAAATCAAAAGAATACGAAAAAACGAAGCAACAGTAGTGCGCAAATGTAAAATGCGGCTGTGATAATAAAACTGGACGACGCAGCGGCAGCTGCCCATAAGCAAAATCAGCAACAACGTTGGCGGCGGCGTCGACAACGCGACTCCCAACGCGCGTGTGTGTATTATTTTGTTGTCAGTTGCCAATCTCTGAATGTATGTGAGTGGCAGTGAGTGTGTGTGTGTTTAGAAATATAATACATATGTACGTATGTAAATGTGTGCGTTATCAATAGAAAAACTCAGCGTTTGATGTTGCGGAACAGCAGCGAATTAAGAACATTTACACCATTTGCACATTTACACGCAGGTGCGTATCAGCTTTGCACATTTCCAATATTTGTTTGTATGTGTGTGCGCGACGCAGACGTGAAGAATTTTCGATTTTCCATTGCAATTTTGCACTGGGCCTGCTCCGCGCCAGCCAAATGCATACATACACGCAACACTGTAATTGTATGTGTTTGCATGTATATGTGTATGTGTGTGTGTGCACGCGCAGGGCATCAAGAAAAGTTGTTGAAAACAGACAGCCGCAGTAAGCAAAAAGTTGTTCACGCAAAATCCAATTGATGCAAAATGCCACAATAATTTTGCATGCGCTTCAAGTTAATTTCTACATTTTTTTATTCATATCCACAAAATTAAATTTTTACTGGGACCAAAATGGCGTCTATATATAAATGCATGCATGTGTGTGTGTGTGTGTGTGTATGTGCATACATTCTTGTTAGATAATCCGTTAGAGCCTTTGCGTTGCCTAACGGTACTAGCGTATGTATGCATACACACATTTGTATATACATATGTACACAAATATATACAGACAGACAGACATATGTGTTAGTATGTGGCTGCTGTTGTTGTTGCCTTTGGGTACCATTGGCAGCGGCGCTTTAGCCATCAACATCAACATGAACATCATCTACTGCGAGTGTCCGCAATTCAAACATGCGCCGTTCCCTGCGCAACGTTTTTTTCTTTTTGTCTATTTCTGGTACGTTTTTATATAAATTCGTGAAAATGCACATTAAAAGTGGGAGGGTGAGGTAAAGGGTAAGCAAAAACATGGCGTATGCGTAATGTCTGCCAATCTTTTTTCTGTTTTCATCTGCTGCTCTTATTTCTGTTTGTTTTTTTTTCTTCTCTTTTCTATTCCAATTCCAAGAACGAATTCCAATTCGAATTTTTCCTGTGCTGGGCCTGCAAGTGCACATATATGTATATGTATGTGTGTGTGTGAGTGCGTATGCATGGGGGTTGCTGAGCACAGCCCACCCTTGAATTAAGGGCAGCAGATACACACAGCAGCCGTGAGAACAGAGCAGAGAAATCCATGCCGTACACTCTGAACGGGACACCACTGTTTTCAGCTGTGTACAAATTTGTTTATTTGTCTGATAGGGGTGTGGAGGAAGGTGGTGCGGTATATTCTTAGCAGAACAAGTCAGAGCAAGTACAGTTCCAATTGGAAGTGCGTTGATGTGTGTGTTTCTATTATTATGCGGTTTTTTTTTTTGTATTTACGTTCTCTGTTCTACAACAACAAGCAAGAAGAAAAAAAATTAAACAGGGCATGCGTTGGCCATTTCATATTCTCATTGCTTGTTGGGTTTTTTGTAGGTGTTAGTGTTTGCGCCGTCGCCGTTGCCACTGCCACTGCCACGACCGCCGCATGCGTAGCTTTTTTTCCGTTCGTTCTTTACTTTGTTTTTTTGTTGTCATTTTTCATTTTTGTCATCTACTTTATCGCCTATTGTAGACGTTGCGTCAAGTACATATATGTGTCTGTGTGTGTAAACTACGAGGGAGAGAGCGGAAAAGAGAGAGCGAGCGGCAGAAACTCGCTTGTGAGAGCACATGAAAAACAATAGCTATCGATTATTTATAATGTGTAGCGCACATAAGCATGTATGTATGTAAATGTATATGTATGTGTATGTGTCTGTGTAAATGTGTCTATGTATGTAATCATTTTTGTTGGCGATGAGCGCGCTGACGCAGTGGGAGATATGCATACACTCACACAGACACTCACGCATACATATGAATACTTATGTACGTATTTAGAATAATAGGCGGCGAGCGCATGCACTTACACACGTACACACTCAAGCAAAAAAGCAGCGCAACTCACTGGAAATCAGCAACAGAAACAAATGCTTTTTTTGTGTATAAATAATGAAAATAAAATTCAGTCTATTTCTCATACACTTCATGCATGTATTTCGATATGTATATATTTATATTGGGCGAGTGGCGATTCATTCGAAAATACCAAAAGTGTGACCATAGCGCAGGCGCCAGGTGTGACCCTTCTAGTAACGGTTGTGTTGTTTTTTTTTTCTTTGCGCGTTGGTTTTCTGCTTCCAATTATAAGAAAGAAGAAAATATTACACACAACAAATAAATATTTCTAATTATGTGTGTTTGCCACACGTATTGATATCTTGGCGCTGGCGCATAATCCGGTTGCCTTCACGCACTACTAGTCACATATACATACACACACGCATACATATTCGTGTGCGTGTATTTTTAACGTTTTTCAAACGTTGTAGCATGCTTATCAGCGCACCTAACCAAACTTTGCGCACACGCGCCCACCTACGTATGTATATATGTGTGGGTGTTTATGTACATGCTTACAAATCGGTAAAAAAAAAAGCGAAGAATAATGTAAAGCCATGTGAACATTGCGCACGCACCAACCAACAACAGTAAAATCAAACGAACATACAGTGGCGGCTATAAAAATATGTGCAGCTATAATAATTGAGAACATTCTATTAAACTATCTACGCATAGCATAAACACGAGAAACTTTAAATAAATTGAATTAAATTTTCTTTTTGCATAAGTATGTTCTTTTTTCTTAGTGAATTTATCATCAAAGCTGTTATTATTTTGTTGTTGATTGAGCAATCTGTGGACTATTTTTCTGTGTGGCACACTTTCAATGCCCAGCAGTGTTAAAGAAGCGTGTGGCAAACTGTCTGCTGCCTGCTGCCTGGCCACGCGCAAGTGAAACGAGCTTACAACATCAACAACCCCCTGGTAGGGGTGCTTCTAAGGTTGGTGGTGGTGGTTCTGCTGGCGCTGATGGTGCTGTTGCTGATGGTGATGATGGCGGTGGTGGTGGTGGGTGGTGCGAGCAGTGCATGCGTAACCATATGGCAAAGGAAAGGTACCGCTACAATATGCACAATATTGCCCAGGCGCAATGCGTTTGCGTGCACTAGAATTAATATTGTTGTTTTCGTTGTTGTTGCTGATTTAGCTGCTGCTGCTGCTGACAGTGCTTGGGGGATGTTTCTGATTCGCTTTTGGGGGTAGCTGCGCAGCCCTTTTTGCTAACTTCTCAAAGCACACACACACATAGACGTGCACACATATAGCTGTCTCTGTTTAATTGAGAGCAAGTGTGGGTGGCTTGGCACGCATGCAAGTGACAGCTTGCTCTGCAAAGCTTTTCAATGCGCAGCCCAACAACAAAAATAAGGAGAAGAATAATAATACACAACGGCAAAACACAACACAACAGAACTGAGCAGAACGTAACACATACACACACACACACAGACACAGACTTGCATTTGGAAGCAGCGCTCACAGCAGCAACAGTATGACCATCTCAGTCGCACTTGCTCTCTCTCTCCCTGACTGTGCTGTGCTGTGCTGGCTGTCGACTCACACGCGTCGCGCAAAGCGACAACGTCGACGCATGGGCGCAGTATTGATTTTTAACTGCGTCGACGCCGCCGTTTGCGTCGACGCTGCCGCCGTCACCGTCACCGAAAATGAAAATGAAAATGCATGCACACGGCGGCGTCGTCAATCCGTGGGGTGGTTTGGCGCAGTGTGGTCGCTCATTGCTCATAGCTCGAATCGCTCATCGCTCATAGCTCGAATCGCTCATCGCTCGTCGCTCGTATCGCATTTGCTTTGCTCTTCTTTTTGCTGTTTCTGCTTTTACATACATTGTATTGTTGTTATTATTGTCAGTGTGTCGTCGTCGTTGTCGTCGCCGTTAACTGAGCAATCGCAAATAGAACTTCAGCCGGACAGGCGGAAAAGACAACGCAGAGCACGAGTAACGGCAACATTGACAGCAGCAACAACCGCGGCAGCAGCAGCGGCGCAGCAGCAGCAGCACCAGTCCAACTGCAAACAACAACAATAAACTTGAACTGCAATCATATTCTTTTAACACGTTGTGCGGTGCGTTTACCATTTCTTCCCCAAATCGGTTTCGATTTCAATTTCAATTTCGCTTTCAATTATATGACAATCTGTTACAAACACAAATCAGCAACAATTAAAAAACAAAACAAAAACCCGAAAAAGTTAAGAAAATAAAAACGGTGTTCCTATTTTTTTAATCGAATTTTTTCTTCTATATTGTGAAGTGTGTTAAAAACGAAAATCAGCAAAAGGCAAGCATTAAGTATTTGATATATTATATATATATATATATAATATATATGTAAATTATTATTATTTGCAAAAAAGTGCAAACTGTGTCAAAAGTATAAGCAATATTCAATGCGCACGTGCAGCGGTCGCCGAAAATATTGAATTAATGTTGGTCGAAAGGGGAAGGGAGAATTGCAATTGGAATTGGAATTGGAATGGGTTGCATTTAACTGTATAACGAAGTGTGTATGAGAAACCAGTTGGGAATTGGAATAGAACCATGCTGAGTATGCGCATTGTGGCAACTTACATAAATTGATTCCTTATCACAGTTTTTCAGTGCATTCTATTATTATTTCTCTCAAATCTGTCGATCCCCAGACAAAATTTTTATATTAGCTTGCCGATCTTTCATTTTAATATAATATATGAAACTTGAAAAATAAAAGAATTTGCAATAATTTTCCATTTTTTCTATACACCTTTGAGTTCACTCAAAAATAAACAAAAATATACCGAAATTTTAGAAAGTCGAACTAAAAACTATATAATTTTCTTTGCTTTTAAAAGTTATTTTCTAACTATACGAAAAAAATGAAAATGAACTTGAAATTATGAAAGTTTTTTGTCTACACACATTTAAAATCACCCTGAAAATTATGCATAATTTTTTTTAAATTTTATAAAATTGTTCCCTAGATTTAAGAGAAGAAAAACCCTTTAGTGAAACACAATAATTCGTTTTAGAAATATACTTTCTGAATATGTTGAATTATCCCTATATATATATATATTTTTTTTTTTTGTTACTCAAATCAGTAAGCAGATCGGAGCACTTTATCATATAGCTGCCATCGGTAACAAGCGATTAAGTTCCAAGGTATCGAAATAGGCGTCAAAATCCATGGCACCATTTCTGGTGGAAAAAAAAGTGGAATATTCAGTTGACAGCTAGTCGTGAAACAGGAAGCATATATTAAACAAATCAAATTTAAAATAAGCATATACATATTTTAAACTCTGGACTATAATATTTCAATGTCGGCCGATAAACTCTCCAGTCCTCCAGTCGATAAGTGTAGTTAATTTTGTTCCGTTTTTGATTGATAATCAAATATAGAAATACACATGTTCCATGTTTCGTTTCGTATATATTGCCCAGATCATTGACAGATTACTCGTACTTATATAGTAAATATATAGTACACAATGATGTTGGCGTCGCTAATCAGTTGAGCGCTGTTCAAATTAGTTACTGTGCCACAGCACACACACACGCACAGAAACTATGACAGTTTGTACTAATTCATTATACATGCACACATGTATATGTCTGACTATGTACATACATTTATAGAGTGTATATATATATATATAGATCATTGTGTTCTTGTTCTTGTTCCTGTTTTTGTTGTTGTTTGGCTTACAATGTTGCGCATGCGCGCTTTTGACCTGATTCATTCATTGCTTATCAGTAAATGGTTATTTCTCTATTTTTTTTTTTAGTTCTGTTTTTGTTTTTGTTTTTTGTCGTCGCTGTCGTCATGTATACTTGCACAGCACTCGTCATTAGGTTAGAAACGGGGTCATCAATTTGCATATCTTAGGAATGAATGCAGCAAAACGAATTCCATTGCGGCCTTCCATCGCACACACTAAAACTAAAATCAAATTCTTAGCATTTATTCTTGAGTACACTCGGAAAAACAAAATCGCCCTTTGACAAATATTGATTACAAGTTTCAAATTCTAGCAAATTGCTAAGCGCAACACAACTTCTTAATCAAAAAGTATATTCCCAAAAAAAAAGGGGGAAACATTTAGATAGTTTAGTGCCAACATTTTAGATACTTTATTCCAACAAATAATTTAATTTGAAAGAACCCACAGTTTTATGGGAATTCTCAGTGGGAATCATTCGTTTGCGATTTGAGCGACTTCCAAATGAGCTTCAAACGATTATTATTATATTCTTAGTTTCAGAAAGTATTTGTTTTCCTTTTAGAAACATTAAGAAATATATTTCTGAAAAATAGAAAAGAAGCTTTTCTAAATTTAAACAAATTTTATATTATATATCTAAAAACAGCAAAAAGTGATTTGGGTTCCATTGTTCCATACAAATATATGCTGATCAACATTGTTTATATGTAGCCGTATAAGCCCTATATAGTTTATTTCTTAGTCCATAGTTATGGCAATTAGTTGGATATGTAGCTAGTAAAAGTGGTTGGATGAAAGACTTTCCAGTATTGCAGCAGCTAAGGGGTGTTTCGTGGCATCATCTGTATCAAATGCTCTTCTCAATCAATCCAAAAACATCTATCACAGTTTTAGACTAACTCTCGCTCTCCTCTCACCCGCAGATCTCTCACATTGCGCATGAGATTGAAGTCACCAGGCAGCGTAGGAGCCGGGGCCACAGTGTGAGTCCGAGTTGGACAAGAGGAGCAGCAACAGCAACTGCAACAGCCCGTTAATAAACCGAACCCGACCGACTAATAGTAACAGCAGCAGCAGGCAGGCACCAAGCTGGCCACCACAAGCTATCGGGTGGTTATGGCGGCGGCTGGCAGCCAAAGAAGCGGTGGCAATGTTGTCCTCACCAATGCAACGATTAGCGCTGGCGGCGGCAGCAACAGCTCCGGCAGCGGTGGCGGCGGCATCAATGTAACGACAATAACAACGACCAGCAGTGGCTCGCAGGCGCAATCGTCGGGTGGTCAGAGCAATGGCACCACCTACAAGATCGAGATGCTCGACGATGATATGCAGAGTCTGGGCACCGATGACGAGGACGATGATTTGATTAGTAGCGAGGGCAGTCTGTACGATGGTGATCTTGCCACCATTGTTAACGATGATGTTGCCCATCAGCTGGCTGCCGCTGGGCCAGTGGGCGTGGCAGCCGCAGCTGCCATTGCCAGCTCAAAGAAACGCAAGCGTCCGCATTGCTTCGAAACGAATCCATCGGTCCGCAAACGTCAACAGAATCGTTTGCTGCGCAAATTGCGTGGCATCATCTACGAGTTCACCGGCCGTGTTGGCAAACAGGCTGTGGTGCTGGTGGCGACGCCGGGCAAACCGAATACCAGCTATAAGGTGTTTGGCGCTAAGCCGCTGGAGGATGTGCTGCGCAATCTGAAGAACATTGTGATGGATGAGCTGGACAATGCGCTGGCGCAACAGGCGCCGCCGCCGCCCCAGGAGGATCCATCGCTGTTCGAGCTGCCCGGCCTGGTCATCGATGGCATACCGACGCCCGTCGAGAAGATGACACAGGCCCAGCTGCGCGCCTTCATACCGCTCATGCTGAAGTATTCGACGGGTCGGGGCAAGCCCGGCTGGGGCAGGGAGTCGACACGTCCGCCGTGGTGGCCCAAAGAGTTGCCGTGGGCAAATGTGCGCATGGATGCCCGCTCCGAGGATGACAAGCAGAAGGTGGGTGGGGTGGGTGTTCAACAGCCGCCCTAAAGCATCGAATCGTGTCTTATTAATCGCCACCCTTTCTTCTTCCTTCCCAACAACCATCAACCAACTAAAAACACAACCAAACAGATCAGCTGGACGCATGCGCTGCGCAAGATCGTGATCAATTGCTACAAATATCATGGACGCGAGGATCTGTTGCCCACATTCGCTGACGATGAGGACAAGGTGAATGCGCTGATCTCACAGTCGGGCGACGAGGACGAGGACATGGAGCAGCTATCGAATACGCCCACCATACAAACGGTGCAAACAGTCGCACCGGCAGTAACCACAACCACCAGCCAAGTAAGTACACACCAATCCCCAGCAGCATTGACGCAAACAAACTCCTCCGTTAGACTATCGACTTTGTATTTGAACTGGTCTCACACACCGCCCATCCATCCATCCATCCTGTCACATTCCCATTTCATGCTCAACTTTTACTAATAAAAAAAAAATAAATAAAAAACAATACATTAATTAACACAATCAACAACCAACCAACTGCAAACAATTGGAACTGCCACAGCCACAGCAGGTGAACGTGGTGAAGATTAACAGTGCCGGCACGGTGATCACAACGCACACGGCTCAATCGAATACGCCGGCGCCAACGATTATCCAGAGCACAAACAATCAGCATGTGACAACAACGGCCACGCTGCCAGCATCCACTAAGATTGAGATATGCCAGGCACCGGCGCCACAACAACAACACCAGCAGCAGCAGCAGCATCAACAGCAGCAGCAGCAGCAGCACCATCACCACCACCAACAACAACAGCAGCAGCAGCAGCAACAACAGCAGCAGCAGCAACACCACCAACATCAGCAGCAACAGCAGCATCATCATCATCATCATCATACAACAAGTGGCAATAATACGGTGCACATTCAAGCGATAGGCCAAGCACAGCCGCAGACCATACAGCTGACAACGGCGAGCGGCACGGCAACGGCAACCGCAGTGCCAACAACAGCGGCAGCTGTAAGTGCATCATCAGCAGCAGCGGCGGCGGCCGCTCAACAAGCGGCACAGCAATCAAATGCTGCACAAACCGTCACCGCCCAACAGATTGCCAATGCCCAAGTTTGCATCGAGCCCATAACGCTGAGCGACGTTGATGTTCGTACTAATCTGTCTGAACTTGTAACTAAACTAGTGAAACTCTTCACTCTTCCTACTCTGCTCCTCTGAATATTATGCACACTTCGATCTCCTCATTGGATGAGTGTTTTTTGTTTTGTTTTGTTTTGTTTTTCTGTTGTCTTAAAACGATATGATTTTCCTTAAAATTAAATGTTTCACTTGCCATGGTTCGAAAACAATTCGATCTGCTTAATGAATGGATTTATGTCCTAAAATTGATTTATCTAATTAACACTCAAGTTTAATTTATTCATGAAACATAATGTTTATCAAATCATCAAGTTTAATTCAGTTTAAATATAAAAAACACCTTTAGAATTTGATTGATGTGGTGCATAATATTCAAATCCTGCTGATTGCGCTTATGTATTTCTTTCCTATTAATTTGAATTTGAATTTGTTACTCTTTCGATTGATATTGTTATTTATTATGATATTTCATCTGCATTTTATTTATATTTATTATATGAATTAATAATTTTTACTTTAATTTTTGATGTATTTGTTTTTCTTATATACTATTTGTTTTTATGCCCTGGCAGAGGGATTTTTAATTTTGTCGTAAAGCTTGTAACACATTGAAGGAGACTATATATATATATAGTGATGTCCGTCTGTCTGCCCGCTTTAAAAGTTATCTTGTTGAAACTTGGAAAATCTTCGTCCTTTTTTGTATTAACTAAGCATATGTTTGGAGTCGGTATATATATATATATATATATCTTGCTTTGCTTCTTACATTTCTTCAACAAATTATCCATATCGCACAACTATATCAGATAGCTTCCATTAACCGTTTCGATAAATTTTGTTTTTTTTGTTAGCAGCTGGACTCCATTCTGCAAGGGTATTTAATCTTCGGCATGCCTAAGATTTGTTTATCATTTTTTCTCCACCTTATCTCGTTTTATTTTCTCGTTTACAGCAGCTTTTAAATGTGGTTTTCATTTCAAGCGCCCACAACAAAATCCAAACTAAGCACACTCACATGTAAATAAACCGCATTCGTTAACTCAACACACACACACTAACAGCAACAACAACAAACACACACATACACACACATCGACTGTTTTATTGACAAAGAAAAACAAAAACAAAAAAACAAACCAATTTTTTCCATTTATTTTGCATTGCATTTGTTTTTATTGTTTAACCTTTTGTTTGAAAGGTTTTATTTTTTGAAAATATATATATATATTTTTATTGTTTGTTCTTCTCGTTGTTTTCTGTTGTGCTGCAGCATATACACTGAACGAAACGCAGAAGATATATAACTAAAATGCGCTTCACATTTTATCCAACAGTACACGACACAAACGGTGTTGTCGCAGAATGCCGATGGTACCGTCTCTCTCATCCAGGTGGATCCCAACAATCCGATCATAACGCTGCCCGATGGCACAACGGCCCAGGTGCAGGGTGTGGCAACGGTAAGCAGCGGTTGCAACAACCAAACATCAAACAATCAATGAACAAATGTTGAACTTTATTGTGCGTTTTATTTTGCAGCTGCATCAGGGCGAGGGTGGCGCCACCATACAAACGGTACAAAGCTTAACCGATGTGAATGGTCATGAGAACATGACCGTGGATCTAACCGAGGCGCAGGATGGTCAAATCTTTATCACCACCGAGGATGGCCAAGGTAAATGCGGCGAATGTGAAATCTTGATCGATAACGATAATGTGTCAACATCTTTAATAAACCACCCACACAGGCTATCCGGTGTCCGTGAGCAATGTCATATCGGTGCCCGTCTCCATGTACCAGTCGGTGATGGCCAACATACAGCAGCTGCAGACGAACAGCGATGGCACCGTCTGCTTGGCCCCCATGCAGGTAGATAACAGCAATAGCCCCAACTCTTCCAATAGTGCCACGCGCACCACCAACAACAGCAACAACAACAACAACAACACCAACAACAATAATAATAATAGTAGTAGTAGTGGCTCAGCTGCTGCGCCAACTTCGCTGCTTGGCATCTCGGTGATCAACACTGGCTGCGCTGCCAAGCTGGGCCGGCGCAGCGCAGCTGGCTTAGTCACAGCAACAGCTGGAGCTGGTGCTGCAGTGCCAAATGCCGGACAACAGCCGGCGGCGCTCACATTGCAAGCGCCGCCAGGCACTCGCTTGTATTGGGCAGCGACGGGTCCGACATGCGGTGGCAGCGCCAGCAGCAGCGGCAATAGCAGCAATTTAAATGCTGGCTTTAATCTTGCCAACAACAATAACAATAACAACATGCTAACTAACAACAATAACAACAGCAGCAACAATAATAATATCAATAACAATAACAATACAATTACAATGTCGCTGCCCATTGTTTTGACAGCGCCAGCAAACCGCAGCAGCGGCGGCGTCGTCGTCGTCGTCGTCGTCGTCGCAGCGACGCCACGAAACGCACGCATCGTGACGCTCAATAACAGGGCAAAAGCGACGCAAGCTGAACCACGGCAATAACAGTAGCAGCAGCAGCAGCAACAACAGCAGCAGTAACAGCAAGCAAAATGTTAGCAAAGGTGTTAGAAATGCTACTGCTGCTGCTGCAGCTGCTGCGAGGACGGCGGCTGCACCGAGCAGCGCTGCTGCTGCGGAAATACGCTGTGTGAACAGCGCCAGACTGACAAATTTGGGCAGTGCGCAGCTGCAGCTGCCCGCAAAAACCATTAAATTAGAGGATTTGGAATAGGCTTCCTCAAGCAGCTACTGTAGCCACCATACCCCTCCCCCTCGCACCCATGCACAAACTTGCCAGCATCCCCCCTCCCCCCTCCCCGCCTTGAGGTAGCTACCAATTGCCAATATCTAATCTAGTCAAAGCGGCGCTGCAAACACAAACACACACACACACGCATAGAATATTAGCACAGAAACTTGCCATTTTTACTTACATAACTACATACATAGCTGTATATACACACAGACACACATACATATATACAAACAAACAAACAAACGCAAACAATTGTGAATGCCGACAAAGAATACCAAAAACTAAACAAAGCAAAAAAGCGAAAAGCAAATAAGGAAAGAAAAAAGAACGTGAACAATTAACAGCATAAAGAGAATGCAATGAATTGCCCAAGTAATCGATACCATACATAGCATAATCTATAAATAATATTTAAATTAAATACCATACTAACAACTCCCCCGCCCCCTCACACATACACACACACACATTGAATTTAACGTGAGCTAAAAACGAACACGCAAAGCAAATTTGTTGATAATTGAAACACTGAAACCAAAAAGATAATGAAAACCACAAATCATATAAAATCAAATTTGTCAAGTTCCTAAAACAAAACAAATAATAATGGAATTTTTTTTTTCATATAGAAATTTTCTTATTATTTTGTTTGTTTTTGTATTTTATAGTTGAGTTCGTGCATGATTCCGAATTGTATCATATTGTAATCGAAACACAAGCCAAATATTAACATATTTAGTTCAACAATTATTTTATATTATTATTGTTCTTATTTTATTTAATTTTTTTTTTTTGTTCAATATATGGAAAATGTTATGCAAATATTTGTTTAAGCTTTAAGTTGTAAGTAGTTGGTTTAGCATACAGGGAATATGAATGCTATTGATTTTGTTATAGAAATTGTGTGACGCAATCAAAAGAAACAAAAAATATATTAAATTAAAGAAAAAAAAAAGAAGAAAGGATTAAAACATACACCAAAAACATCATAGTCATATTGTTAAACTCGTCCAACGTAGCCAATTTGCATTCAAAATGTAGCATTAGCTAAGCATAAAGAAAATCTACTAATTGAACCGCCCACATGCCATTTCTGAGCTAGTTACAAAAAAGAAAAACAAAAAAAGGAAAACATACCATTAAACAAAGAATAAAAAAGATATATGAATTGTGGATGGAGGAATCATGTGGCCAGGAATTTAAGCGCATATTAATATTTTATGTTTATTACAATTATTATTATTATTATTATTGTGTTTAATATCTTTATTACTGATTATGTTTATTATTACAGTTGTTTTAGTGCAAATTTTAATTATATGTAAACAATGCAAAGCAAAAAAAAAAAAAGAAAAAAAAGTGGAATAAATCTTTTGTTGTTGTGATTTTATAATTTTTTGATTTATTTCTTTGAACTTATCTATTTAATTTGTTAACTATTTCTTTTCTTTTTTAGCAGCTCATCTATTTCCTTAAAGGTCTTCTAATTTCTTTCATAATTTTCTTATGTATGCCTAAGTAAGTATGCTTTTATCATTTATCGCATTATCAATTCCATACGATGCAGGAAATCATCTAGTTATTTGTAGAATCAAATTTGTTTAAATATTGTGATTTATCTCTGATATTTATACACATATATCTCATGTGGATTTCGATATTTTCTGTTTGGCAGGTGGAAAATGGGGATCAACTGGAAACCATTACAATGTCACCTGGAATGCATCAAATGATGATCCAGGGCGGACCCGGCCAGGAACCGCAGCTTGTCCAAGTGGTCAGTCTAAAGGATGCTACCCTGCTTACCAAGGCAATGGAGGCCATTAACTCCGGCAATGTCAAGGCCGAGGACACAATCATAATGGAGCAATAGACACCAGACAGCAGCAGGAATTATAATTGAAATCGAACCGAACCGAACCGATACTGTAACATGATCTCCATTACCATAACAAAACTACAATATTATCGGTCGATCACGCATGTAAATGCTTGATAACACGCTCATTGAATTAATGCATTTTATTATATGATTCTATTATATGGTTACCCAAATGATTACACATATATATAGTACATTATCCACGACGCATTATCGAAAATATTTTATAAGTACCTGAAAGGTGTTGCTAAAACAAAAACAATGCAAAAAAAAAAAAACCAAATAAATAAAAAGTCTATTTTCATTTGATTATTTGTTACATTCCTTCAAGTTATTTGTATCGATCTAGTCTATACAAAAAAATAATCAACTCTAGTCGACAAATATCCAGTCGTATATAGTCAACATACAAATATGTATATTTTTTTTTTCTGTTTTTACTTATGTACAAACAATTAAAATGGAGTCTTCGCATAGTATAATAATAAGATAGAGAAGATAGAAAAACAAAGCGTTAATTTTTGTGTACCATTTTTCTTTTGTTTCTTTTTTTGTTTACATTTTTAAATTGATAAATCAAATTTTGTCAGCTTTACAAATAGTTAAATTAATATTAACGGTAAACTCTTAATTCAAATAACAGTTTCTGGGTACCGTACTTAACGTTTCGGAACATACTAATATATACTTTTAAAAATAACTCATCACTTGCATATATATATACATATATAGATATATACAAATATAATAATTATGCAACTACTTGTATGCATGTTTTGAGCATTACCACATAAAACACACTCACTACAATAACGTTTGCTTATAGTCATAAAGTTAAATTATATATATATATATAAATCAATAAATAATTCATCTTAGGCCAAAAAAAAAGAAAGCAAACAAAATAAATAAATAAATAAAACAACAAGAAACAAATACAAAACAAAAAACAAAACCAATGCAATGTAAACAAAAACATCACTTTAAATTTAACTATTAAAATTAATAAATAAATAAACTGTAAACCAAATTTACTTTTGACAATGAGAATGATTTAAAGCCGCAAAAGGTTCTGATGGCCTCGATCCTAATTTAGATACATGTAGCAAGTAAAAACGATGAGGCCAAGAACTCATGACTGCTAGATACTCTGTCCATATTGTAATATCAGATTGAATACAACAAAGCATTCCCATCGGTAAAATCGCTATATATCCGAACGAATAATAGAGTTCAGGCTGACTGGCAAAGAAAGTTAAAATATTCACACAAATATTGGAAAACATTGGGCTCTCCTGTCACGATAGGAAATGCCTTTTATAAGTATATAAAAGCTCAGGGAAAGGTCGCATGGACTGAGTCCTTAAAGCAAAGTGAATATCTCTATAACAAGTGGGAGAATAGCAAAAGCCATTCAAAATTGTCATTATCTGAAACCGGAACATATTTCCGATATCTTACATAGCATATTTCACACACTTAGTCGGACATTTTGCCAATTTTACAAACTTTAATATTTCATAAATAATATATATAAAGAATAGTAATAGAATATACTTATGTAGACATATATTCTTTTCACATACTTACATAGATGTTTGGGGTTGATTGATCAATATTAAAACAAAATTGAGACGGGTTTTTAAACAGAGGATTTCTTCTTTTTTAATTGTTTCTTAATTGAAAAACAAATATGCGGTTGTTTACTTTATTCACGTTATTATTATTGTTTATTTATCAATAGATTACTGGCTAAATTTTTAATTGCTAACATTTGTAACGCATTATTATCGTTATTATTGGTTTTTATAAATTAAATTTTACAAAAAATCTACACAACAGCGCAAGAAGCACACATATATATATATATATATATGTATGTATATATATATATATATATATATATATAGATATTACCACTAAGCAGACAAAACATAGAGGCGTCAAATCGATGGCAGGCAACATTGCTAGCGGATCGCCCAGACCCTTGGCTGTGTGTGAAGATAGCAGCAAACACTCTCTCTCTCTCGCTCTCACTCTCTCTCTGTCCTTGTCTTGCGTGTGCAAGCTGACAGCTCGATTTTGCCATCTTTTTAGTTTCTGGATAAAGATACATCATCTTTTTGCAGAGGCAGATTAGTTCAACTTTTGATCAGTTCTTGTAACTTCTTAGTAACACTTTTCTTTTTTTTAGGAATTAATGGGCAGCAATCTAATTTCAAATTTGTTTGGCTAAAATTGGCATTATTACTGAAATAAGTTCTCCAGAAACGAGATTGTGTAATGCAATTTTAGGAAAGGTATCATTGTCTAGCCTCTTAGTGGGTTGCCTGCTTAGTGATAATACACATTTTAGATGTGCATGTATTAGTATATGTACATATATCAATTTATTATGTATGTAAGTATTTGTAGCATATGCATGTATAAACCAAAAGTGTTTTAAGAGCACAACTCGTTAAATAAAATATATAAAAATCAAACAAAATATTACAAATGTGCTTAAATTAATTATTAAAATTATATTACACACTAGACAATCGGAACGGGCAAAAAGGAAATGCAAAACAAGAGTTACGCTACATACACATACAAACAAACAAAAAAAAAAAAAAAGAAGAGTCAGAAATCTATCAAATAAAATAATAATAATATTTGTCGTTAATAATAGCTACACAAAAAATTTTGCTATTAAACAAAAGGTGCTAACTGATAAGGCAAACGGAAACATGGACATGACCGTATCGAGTCGAGCACAAAACAATTTTCGCCCGAGCAACTGTGCTGTGGGTGCCTGGGAAGGGGTGGAGAGGGAAGGGGACGGCGGATGACGGATGGAGGGAGGGTGGGCTGGGGAAGGACAGCTCAAGCTTAAAGCCAAAAATTAAACCAGATTGAACAAACATGGTGGAGATATAAAATAAAGGCAATGATTTCCACAAAAAAAATATAAAAAAAAAATACATCTAAAAAAATCAAACATATATCTCAATATATAGAGATAAAAAGTTAACTGTTTATCCTATAGCTCAGTGCTCAGCAAAACAAACACTCTAGTTCCTCCTGGCTGGGATGGTGGATGGTGGGAGTTGTTTTTTTGTTTTTTTGGGAGGTTAAGTTCATTTACTGATATTCTGTATTAGATAATTGAGTATTAAATGTGTGGCATAATCATTGCATTATCGCTACAACAGATCCGGCTATTGATTATTGTTCAGTCGAGCGTTTTATAAGTTTTGACAAGTTTTCCAGGGTTGTACAACAGTGTTGCAGAACGACGCATACAGCTGTGTGTGTGTGTGTGTGTTGTATTATAATACATTAAAGTTAAGGATCTCTCTTCTCTCTCTATCTCTCTATTTCCGTTTTCAGTTTCGTTGTTGCTCTATCATTTCTATCGTTTCGCAGTAATTTTGCAAAATGTTAAAACCTGTTAAAATTTAATGAGTAGATTTACTTAAAACAATATATGATTTTGTACTCTGATCGCACTGGGTCTTACGGTGTTTTCAACTTTGTTTTTCTTTCTGTTTTTTTTTTTTTTTTGAGGGGGGGAGGGTGGTGTTATTGGTGATGGGGGAGCCAAAGCTTCAGCCGTGCACTGAATACTGAGCTATTTAGACTAAATAAATAAACATTGCAGCTAATTCGACTTCTAAGCTAATGTTGACTTCATTCGCGCATTTTACAACACGAGCATTGAATGCCCACTATTTACTGCTGCTTCTGCTGCTGCTACTGGTGCTGCTGCTACTGTTGCTGCTGCTGCAGTTGCTGCTGCTGCTGTTCGTGATGCTGGTGCTCCTCTCACTGGATGTTTTCGTCTGTTTGGTTATCACTGAAACCGTCTGATGTGGTACTGGCATTTCCGTTCTCGTTCTCTTTACCGTTACCGTTTCCGTTTCAATTTCCGTTGCTGCGGCCGCATCGTACTCGCTCTTAATGTTGACCAACAGCTGCTTCTGCATTTTATGCTCCAACATTATGGCATCCATTTGCCGCCCAAACTTGGGCAACAGTGCGTTGCGCTGCTGTTGCTGCTGCTCGTACAGCGTCTGCGCCTCCTCGCCCATTGTCACCAGCTGGGTGCCCAGGCTGCGCAGCGTATTCGACAGTGCTGCCTGCAGCTGGGTCGGTGGCTCAACTGTGTCCGCTTTTGCTGATGCTGCTGCTGCCGCAGCTGCTGATGCTGCTGCTGCTGCCGCTGCTCGTGATGCTGCTACCTTTCGCGGCGTCGATGTCATTAGCCTCTGAAGAACACTGGTACGTGATATTGCCGGCGCAGGCGCAAGCGCTGCCGGTGGCGGTGATGTATTGCTATTGGCATCGTCCGGCAGCTCCGAGCTGCTCGCACTCGCCGGCGACAATGTGGAGCTCTCGCTTAGACAGCAACTCAACTGGCGTATAACGCCACCATTGGGCACGTTCCCGCTGCGTTCGCGCTGCTCCAGCTCTCGCTGCTTCTGCTGTTGCTGCTGCTGTTGTTGCTGCTGTTGCTGCTGGTATTGAAGATTACGCGCTGAGGTCACATTTACCACATTGACCGACTTGGATATTGAGTGCTTGACGTGACCTGGTGCCGGTGGCACCAGTGCCAACGGGGCGGGCGATGGCGCCTGCTCGTCCAGTGTCGGTGTGTTGCTGCTCGATGCCGGCGAACTGCAGCAGGCATCATCAATAGCTTCCATGTTGGCATCGCCACCATTTGTCGCAGCATCCCCGCCGCCGCCGCCGCCACCGCCGTTGCCGTTTGCCCTCTTTTGCAGATTTTCAATCAGATAGAGCACAATGCGCTCCAGCTGCTGTGGCGCCCTGGATGCGGGCAGATCGGGACTGGTATGCGTGGGTATGTCGGCCTTGATTATTGTGGAGAACTTGTTCTTCATCTCCTGCACCTTGCGCTTGCCAGCCTGCTCGTCCAGCAGCGTATTGACGCACAGAAACGAGTGCACCTTGTTGCTGCTCTTGTCAATCTCCAGAAATCCCTTCGATTGCAGGTATATAAAGTGGCCATTGCGCGATAGCAAACGATAGCAGCTCTCGCCATAGTCACTGTTGCAGTCATACATCTGCCTCAGGGCGACAATTACCCAGCGCACATCATCCAAATGCATAAAACTGAACGGACTCAAGTTGCGCACCTATAAAGGAAACACACAGATCAATATATATGTCTATATATATATGGTATATCTGAATATTAGGAGCTTAATCGTTACAGCTAAAACTATAATTAAGACTATGACTACAACTATTTCGATACTGGAAACTCTCCTATCTTAACTGCTTGCATCAATATCTAATTGATCCAACCAAAAAATATTTAATTGGTTTAAAATCTTAATCGTTTTGCAAAGTATTGATAAACATGTTATCGTTATTCCATAAAATGAACTCTTTATATAATAAATAAACTGTTAAACATCGATTAGCGTTATTAAACAATAAAAGTCAATGCAAAAGTTGTGACTGGTCCGAGTATTTTGTTCCACAGTTGAGAATGATATCAATTTTGCAAGATTGCTTTTTATTACAATTACTAGATGAGCTCGTTTCAGATTGCAATGTCAACTTTAGAGTTATCTATCACAAGGTTCCTTTCTATTAAAAGCTTGCTAATTGTCTTACTCCGTAATAGTTTATTTAATTTATTTTTTATTTCAATTTATTTAATTTATTTGACTGCTCACAACCCAAAGCTAATTCTCTCAAGCGCCTTTGTTTATGTTTAAATAAAGTTTGTTTATTATGCATTATATTTTTTGTATATTTTTCTATCTTTTCTGTCTAGACTGTAACTGAGGATTCAACTCTGGGGGGTTAGAACCCACTCACCTCATCCTTCATGTAGCCGGCGACGATGCCGATGCGCTGATCACAGTCAATGATGCTGCCGTCGATGAGATGCCGCGTTTGGTATTCCAGTTGATACGGCTCCGGTTGGCGGCACATTAGGCTCAGGCAGGTGGAATCTTCGCGGATGATGCGTGCCATTGCCACGAGGACGATATCATTGCCACTGATGCCATGCAGTGCCGCCTGTGCGATCGCATCGTGTTGCGGTATGCAGGCAGGCGATGTTAATGTTGTTGTTGTTGTTGCTGTTGTTTCTGTCGTTGCTGTTGCTGTTGCTGCGGCAGCTGCTGCAGCTGCTGCGGCAGCGAACATGTTGTTGTTGCGCGATCGCCTTATCAGCTGGGATACGATTGGAAAATTGGCGGCCGCACCACCCGTCACCGACGAGTCACTGCGCCGAAAGCATCCATCAATTTTGACCATCTCAAAGTGACGGGTTGCCTCGGCACGCGTTGAGGCACGCGCCAAGCGCACAGTGAAACAGCGTCGATCGCTGCGTAGACGCTCATCGATGTCCGCCAAATGGGCGATCGTACGCGGACTGGGCGTGCGTATGCGCGCCCGTTCCACATCCTCATCATCGTGATCTTGATCGTGCTCATGATCCTGAATCTGATCCTGTTCCGGTTCCTGTTCCGGTTCGAGCATATCCGATTCATCGTCATCATCCTCGCTGGCCGACGTTGAATGCGATTTCGAATGCGAATGCGAGTGGGAGTGGGAATGCGAGTGTTGTTGTTGGCGTCGCTGATGATAGAAGAGCGTCTCGATGTCACGTGGTATTAGCTGTTGGCGCAATAGCGCCTGATCATCGGGATGGGTTATCTGGAGCAGATTCTGTCCATACAAGTCCGATTGGCAGTGGCCCAGTAGCTGTTCGACGCTGCCCGAGATGAGCACTATCTGCCCATTGCAGGTGAGCGTGATGAAGAAGCTGTCGAGTAACTGCATCAACGTTTCCGTCAATTGCGGCGTATCGCCAGCGATGCCACCGTTGTTGTTGTTATTATTATTATTATTATGACTACCAACACCATCAGCGATGCTGGGGCCAATGGCAACGTTGCCAGCGCTGCCACCGCCAACGGTTTTCACATTCAGCCTGCGGCGATGTCGCGTCGCCGACTTGCCAAAGACGTACTGCAGCCGCAGGCCGTGCGTTGCAAAGCGTAGCACGGCTGTTTTGTCCAATCGTCGCGTTGACTCCGCCGCATGCGGCACCATTGTGGCCAGCTCCTGTATGCTGGCATTCAGCTTGTCCCGTCGCTGCTTCTCGGCAAGATTGCGCGCCTCGCGTCCGTTCGATGCGCAGCTGGCGTCTCCGTTCTCCGCATCGACTGCTGTCATAATTGCGACGCAGCCGTTGCCGCTGCCGCCGTTTGCTTTTGCCGCAACTACCGCTGCCATTGTGCTGCTGCTTGTGTATGTGTATGTGTGTGTGTGTCTCAGTGTGTGTGTGTGTCTGTGTGCGTGAAGGGTGGGGTGGGGTGCTGGACGGGTTTCCGGCGGCACTGCTGATGTTATTGTTGGTTATTGGTATAAAGCGTTAGCTTTTGTTTTGGTTCTTATTCTTACGTTTACTTGTTTTCACAACTTCCGAGTTCTCCTTTCTCCATGCATTTGTTTTTGTTATTATTTCTTTTTTTTTTTCGTATTTTTTGGTTTTTGGTTTATTAATATTATTATTAATTGGCGCGCTGCGGGAAATTGTCACTCTCCATAACTTGGCGGCCGATGTGGTTGCCTGCCTCTCTGCGCTCAGCTCTGTTTGCGTTTTTTGTTAATATTTTTTCGAGCTTTTTTGTTGCTATTTCTTTAAAGTTCTCAAGGTCTCGATAGTCGTGTTATTGTTGTTGTTGTTGCTGCTGCGTTGTTGTTGCTGTTGTTGTTTTCTGCTGCTGCTGCTGTTAACCACCTTTGGGCTATGCGCGCGGCCCCCTTCCCTTGACAAGTCCCTCTCTTTCACGCAGCGTATGTTATTTTCCGTTGTATGGAATTTTTTTTTTTGATTGCGTTGCGAATCTCAATCTCCTTGGGGTTGTGGCTCTAGCTTTGTTGTTAATATTGTTTTCGTTGTTGTTTTTGTTTGTCTGTTTGTCTTCTTCCCGTGAAGCGGACAACGGTTGTAAATGAATCAATGTACGGTATTTGATATTACTTCGAATATCACACGCACTATTTGCACTACTTTGTTTATATTAGTGATTAATTGTTTATTAAACAATTATGTAGCTCGGCGACATTTATGGCAAAAAAAAATAAAAAAATGTATCGATACATCGATAAGCTTGAGCTCTTATCGGACGGCATGGCTATGATTCTGCCTGATTTCAGCAGGCTACACGTAATTGATGAAAAATTAACAAATAACATTTAAGTTGTGTGTCGGTGTACATAATTCTAAATCTATATCTATTCAATTTAAGCGAAAGAGTCTCAAGGCTCAGATCGATTTCATCTGTGAACTAGCTCCAAGCGATGACATCACGATTCCGATAGTAATTTCATTACACACATACACACACACGCACGCACAAAGACTGGTCACACTCACACATAGCCAAACATCATTTGTGATTCTTCTTCTTCCTCTAGCTAGCTCCACACTTGGCACATTTGCCAGCTGTGCACGTGAAAGCCGTCGACGACAACACAAACGTAAGCTTTCCACAAACTTCGCCAGCGAATTATTTTGTATTTTGGTTTTGATTGTTTGATTGTCAACAGCAGTCACATCGACATCGAAATCGACATGTCCAAGGTTAAGGGTAAGAATAAGGAGCGCTTCGATGACGATAAGGAGCAGCCAGAGAAAGTGATTGTCAACGAGAAGAAGCATGCGAACAAGAAGGGCAAAAAGGGAAAGCGTGCTGCCGGCGGCGGTGGCGATTCCAGTGATAATGAATCCGTAGGCAACATCAAATTGAACAACAACGCTGACGGCGATGATCTTGAAAGCGTAAAGTCCACGCAAAGCAAGCAGCAGCAGCAGAAGAAGGCAGCGAAGAAGGGTAAAAAGGGCAAGCGAAACGATGATTGGAGTGATGATGAGCAGCCGGCAAAGCCGACATCAAAAGTCACAAGCGATGGTTCCGATGAGGAGACAGCAGCCGTCGCCAAATCACAGTCACCTGCCAAGAAACAGCAGCAGGCAAAGAAAAGTAAGAAGAACAACAAGAAGAAAGCGAATGCTGGCTTTAGCGATGATGACGACGATGATGTGATGGATGTGAATCTGAATGATGACGATGTTGTGCATGATGACTATGATGAGGACGATGAGGAAGTGGTTGCCATTGCCAAGCCTGCAGCCAAGAAATCTAAAAAGAAGCAACAGTATATATCTAATAAATTTGCCTTGAGTGACGATGATGATGTGAGTGTGGACGTGGACGAAGATGATGATGATGAGGATCATGATGAGGAGCCGGAGCTCGAAGAAGTTGTGCCGGTCAAGCCAGCAGCGAAACAATCTAAGAAGAAGCAGCAGCAAGAACAAAAGGATCAATCAAGCGATAATAATGATGAAAATGTGAAAGAGCTAATTAAAGAGGAGGTGCCGCCAGCGCCAATAGAGGAATCTTTAAGCGCAAAAGTTGCCACCGTAACGCTAAACGAAGTCGAACCAGTACCTGAGCCAACGGCAGTGGAAGAGTTGGCGACCACGCCCATATCCGAAGAGTCATCGGAAGCGTTTGCCGAGTCCAAGGAAAAGAAAATGTCGCATAAGGAGAAGAAGAAGCAAAAGAAAGAACAGGAATACGAACGACAAATAGAGCTAATGACGAAAAAGGGCGGCACTGGTCAATCAGATCTCGACAACAATTTCACCATGTCCCAGGTGCAGAAGAGCGCTGGCCAACAGGCGGCCCTCGAGCATGCTGTTGACATCAAAATTGAGAATTTCACGATATCGGCCAAAGGTGGGTTCATTCATCTTCTCAAATATTTAATTAGTTGGATAATAATTGAAAGTTCTTTGTTTTTCCTAAACCCCAATTTTGACAGGCAATGATTTGTTTGTGAATGCCAATCTGCTGATTGCCAATGGTCGTCGCTATGGTTTGGTGGGTCCGAACGGTCACGGCAAGACGACGCTGCTCCGTCATATAGCCACGCACGCATTCGCCATACCGCCCAACATTGATGTGCTGCTCTGCGAACAGGAGGTGGTTGCCACAGACAAGACGTCCATTGAGTCCATACTGGAGGCAGATGTGAAGCGTACCCAGATGCTGAAGAAGAGCGAGGAGCTGGAAAAGCAATTCGCCAATGGCGATATGAGTGTTCAGGAGGAGCTCAACGATACATTTGCTGAGCTAAAAGCGATTGGTGCATATTCGGCGGAGGCGCGAGCCCGTCGCATTCTGGCCGGTCTTGGCTTTAGCAAGGAGATGCAGGATCGACCAACAAACAAATTTTCTGGCGGTTGGCGGATGCGTGTCTCGCTCGCCCGCGCCCTTTATTTGGAGCCAACGTTGCTCATGCTGGACGAACCGACAAATCATTTGGATCTGAATGCAGTCATTTGGCTAGATAACTATTTACAGGGCTGGAAGAAAACACTATTAATTGTCTCTCACGACCAAAGCTTTTTGGATAATGTATGCAACGAGATTATACATCTGGATCAGAAGAAATTGCACTACTACAAGGGCAACTACTCGATGTTCAAGAAGATGTACGTGCAGAAGCGACGCGAGATGATCAAGGAGTATGAGAAGCAGGAGAAGCGAATCCGTGAACTTAAGGCCCACGGCCAGTCGAAGAAGGCAGCTGAGAAGAAGCAGAAGGAAACGCTGACACGCAAGCAGGAGAAGAATAAATCGAAACAGCAGAAACAGGACGAGGACGATGGCCCCCAAGAGCTGCTCGCCCGTCCAAAGGAGTACATTGTGAAATTCCGATTTCCCGAGCCCTCCCAGCTGCAACCCCCCATTCTGGGTGTGCACAATGTCACGTTTGCCTTTGATGGCCAGAAGCCACTGTTTATCAAGACCGATTTTGGCATTGATCTGACTAGTCGCGTTGCTATTGTGGGTCCCAACGGTGTCGGCAAATCAACGTTCCTCAAGTTGCTGCTCGGTGAATTGCAGCCGCAGCAGGGCGAGCAGCGTAAAAATCATCGACTGCATGTGGGACGCTTCGATCAGCATTCGGGCGAGCATTTGACTGCCGAAGAGTCGGCGGCTGAATATCTCCAACGTCTATTTAACTTGCCGCACGAGAAGGCACGCAAAGCGCTGGGCTCCTTTGGGCTGGTCAGCCATGCGCATACCATTAAAATGAAGGATCTGTCTGGTGGCCAGAAGGCGCGCGTTGCTCTTGCCGAGCTGTGCCTCAGCGCACCAGATGTGCTCATTCTCGATGAGCCGACCAATAATCTGGACATTGAATCAATCGATGCATTGGCCGAGGCCATCAACGAGTATGAGGGCGGTGTCATTATAGTCTCTCACGATGAACGCCTGATACGCGAAACTGGTTGTATGCTTTACGTTATCGAGGACCAAACAATCAACGAGATTGATGGTGAATTCGATGATTACCGCAAGGAGGTGCTCGACTCTCTCGGTGAGGTGGTCAACAATCCCAGCGTTGTAGCCAATGCAGCTGTGCTGCAATAGCCCGCCATTGAATTTCTCTCCTGTTTTTTTTCAACTGTTGAATAGTCCTTCACCAGATAGCCTTTCAATATATGGGCACCAAATCCCAATAAAACAAATACATATGTTGAATTAATTGAAATATTAATTAAATAACTTGCGTGTTTATTACGATTACAATACAGAGCAAAAAAATATGAGTGCATGCCAACAATAAGTTGGCCATGGTACAGGACTGCAGCAAGGGCTGCCTTTCACTTAGCCATATTGATAGAACTGCTTCACGTTGGTCAGCAACTGGGTCATTGTGTTGTAGCCATCTGTGTCGAAATCAATGTTCTCGCCACCAAATTCGATGACCTGCGAATAAATTGCAGATTAGCGTCAATTTCGTCACGGCATGTAAATAATGAACTTACCTCTTTGGCACGTATGGCATCAGCGGAATTTGGATTACCAATCACCTCCACCCAGGCGCCTTCAGCCGCTCCTAGCTCACTGGGCAGACTGATGCGCAACTTGTGGTTATCCGTGCTGTTGGCCAACAGCGTTGTGCCCGCAACACTTTCCACTCGCACCATGATGCTGACGGTTTGGCCGGCAAACTGCTTCAGCATGCCGCCATTGATAAGGGTCCGGGGCTCAAAATGTGTATTCATTTCCCTCAACTCAGTTTCACTCTGGCGAAATGTTGAATTTTGCAAATTATTTGTACCAAGCGAGATTGCAGTAAACACAAACAAAAAAAAACGCGCGTATGCAAAACTATAGTTGCTTTGACATATATCGATAATATTTCGATAACTAATAGCGTACGATCTAAATTGGACACAAAATTCCAGAAATTTCACCAATTACAGCGATCAATATTTGAAACTTCAATTATTCAAATAAGAATTGCAGTTTAAAAACTCACTATAAAAGTTGTAATTATTTATTATCCATGACCAAGTTAAAAAAAAGTCTAAAATGTTATTAATGTTAATACATTTAATTAAGTTTATATCTATTTTTTAATATTATATCAATTATTTTATGTTAAGTGTTAATATGCAAAATGGACGAAATCCCAAGTGATTTAAATATTTACTGCTTTTTATTTATACTGCTACGTACTATATAGTTTGAGGATAGTCACAAAAAAAAAACATAATACTCCTAAAATCTTAGCTAAGGCCGCCTTCCAATGATTTCATCTAAAACGCTTTTTTAGTTTGTGGTAGGACGGAGGAGCGAGCAGCCGGTTCAATGGACTTCTCAAATGAATCGTAGGTGGCATCGGACTCATCGCTAGCCGAGGTCTGTACCCGAAATCCGTGCACTGGCAGCCTTGCTCGCACCTTCTTGGAAGGTGCGCCATGACTGCGCCTGCCCAGCCCTGAGCTGCGACGAAGTGTGTTTTCCAGCAGATGCACCTTCTTAATTTGAGGCTTGATCACCTTCTGTTGAATGACTACTGGACTCCGGTATGACTTTCGCAATTCTTGTGACGCCTTAAAAGTTTTCATCAGACTTCGCTTTGCGTTTGGTGTAAGCGCCTTAGCGCTACTACTTGAATCCGGAAACTTCCTCTTATGCAGATTGCCAGTGGTTTTGGCCGCCGAGCCTGTCAAAGAAGCCAGCTTCCAATTGGAAGGAGTTTTGCGCAACGACATTGTCGATGAAGACATTGTGGACATCTTCTTCAGCGACATGGGCGTCCGTGCAGTCGTCGATCCTGGTGCAGCTGGTGGCAGCATTTTTCCGCGGGTTGATGGAGTCGTAACTGTGTTTTTGCGGGCAGAACTCTGCTCCTTCACCAGTCGAAGGCGCTCCCAATCGTTGGCCATGCGCTCCAATATGTCCTCACCATGAACCAGAAAGGGTGTCTGAGTGCGCAACTCATAGGCTTTCACCAATTCGGTAATCTGCTGTTCTATTTTTGGCAGCTTGCTGCTTATAGCCTTGCGCTCCCGCTCCTCCTTCAGCAGCTGCCCGCCGCGATTGTTATAACGATTGGGATCGTTGGTCTTGGCCTCCAGAGCCTCCATACGTGCCCAAATCTCGGCGCGACTAGAAAAGAGCTCAAAAATCTCTCTGTTACTATTGTAGAAGCTCTTCAGATCATCGAGCTCGAGCTCATGCAGCTCCAACAAATCCTCGTTGTAACAATCGTTGTAAAAGTTGGCAAAGCGTTTTCGCTCCTGATGTGATTTCAGAGTCAGCTCCCACCACTTCTGGATTTCCTCACGCAACTGATCAATTAAACATTTCATGTTCTTACGGCGTAGCTCCTGGCAGCGATGTAGCTCCTCACGCAGCACATCATAGGTCCGTTGCGTATACTCTTTGGCCTCGCACACTCTGCGCATGGCAAACTCGTCCGATTCCGGCAGTCGCTCCCACAACACGTGGATCTTTTCACGCGTATTGTCAATGGCTTCGCGTAGCTCCGCCATCTGCTCAGCAAATAGTTTTTGCATGGAACGCAGCTTCGCGAAGACATCTGGCGTCAGGCTCTGGTTTGCCTGGCTGAGCAAATGCTCCTCGGCTGCTGTGTGCACCCGTATCTCAAGCAGCTTCATGTCTTCCTTGATCTTACTGCGCAGCTGGAACAGCTCCTCCATGCGGCGTGTCCGCAAAGCACGCAGATGATCGAGGTGCTTACAAAATGCAGCCTTTTCCTCCGGCTTGGGCAGTGGATCGGCCAATAATGGCAGTGGCAGCTCACCCAACTCCTCGCATAGCATTTCTTGTTGCAAAAGCAGCTCGCAGATTTCAGCGCGATGCACACGCAGCTCTTCACGCAGATGCTCAATGCTGTGGTCCAACTTTTGGTCCCAAACCACTAGCGGCATTCCCATAGGCATTTCACCAATATCCACATTCTTGTGTAACAGTCGCATCAAGTCTGAGGCCTCAGCCTGCAGTGCACTGATATCATCTTTGATAACCTGCTCTTTCTCTTTCGATTCAGTCAGCAGGTCGACGTAGAAGGACTGGACGCGTTCCTCCAATTTACTCATTAGCTCGTGGCAATAGTCCTTATCGAACATGTGAGACCAATGGTGTAATAACAAATCGACATGTTCACTTGTGATGACCAGAATGGCTGATTTAGTTTGTTCCTCCATGTTTATGTATTCATTAAATATTACTATTTAGAACGTCAAATCTGTTGTCAAAAAAGGACGCCAAACAGCTACGAATTTATCCAGTAAGTTTGAAACTGAAATAAATGTTGCCACCTTTTCGAAATATTCTGTAATGAGCAGTTGTGAAAATAACATGAGCGCCACCTATTGTAATAAAATAATTCTTAATAAATTTGCATTTATCTATTATTTTTTTTTAAATGAAAGGAAATTGTACTGAAGGTATTGAACATCAAGCTGAGTTAAATAAAATTGAAGCAAATAAAATAACTTAGCTACCATATGAAAATAATTTGAGGAACATTCAAACAATAATTACCATTCTCAATTAAGTATTTACCAGTTATGGTTTTATATTAGTATATTTGACAATTTATTTGCCGTCAATACGTAATTTTAGAATTTTTGAACTTTTTTATATTACTTTCCATCAATGTGAATAAAGCCACCCAAGAATCAAAATAAGTTCATTTCAGGGTTGAAAAATCTGAGTATCGCTTCCAAGCAGCATTTTTAAAAGGTGGCAACGGTAAAAAGAGCGCCTAAATTATACAAAAGCATCCTGTTCTGATTTTAGTTTTTGGGAAAATAGTTAAAATTTGAAAAAATGGAAAAAGAAACAAAATTAAAACTTTTAAATATTACCAGCGAACATGTCGATTTGCTATTACACCATTGGTCTCACATGTTCGATAAGGACTATTGCCACAAGCTAATGAGTAAATTGGAGGAACGCGTTCAGTCCTTCTACGTCGACCTGCTGACTGAATCAAAAGAGAAAGAACAGGCTATCAAAGATGGTATCAGTGCACTGCAGGCTGAGGCCTCAGACTTGATGCGACTGTTACACAAGAATGTGGATATTGTTGAAATGCCTATGGGAATGCCGCTAGTGGTTTGGGACCAAAAGTTGGACCACAGCATTGAGCATCTGCGTGAAGAGCTGCGTGTGCATCGTGCTGAAATCTGCGAGCTGCTTTTGCAACAAGAAATGCTATGCGAGGAGTTGGGTGAGCTGCCACTGCCATTATTGGCCGATCCACTGCCCAAGCCGGAGGAAAGGGCTGCATTTTGTAAGCACCTCGATCATCTGCGTGCTTTGCGGACACGCCGCATGGAGGAGCTGTTCCAGCTGCGCAGTACGATCAAGGAAGACATGAAGCTGCTTGAGATACGGGTGCACACAGCAGCCGAGGAGCATTTGCTCAGCCAGGCAAACCAGAGCCTGACGCCAGATGTCTTCGCGAAGCTGCGTTCCATGCAAAAACTATTTGCTGAGCAGATGGCGGAGCTACGCGAAGCCATTGACAATACGCGTGAAAAGATCCACGTGTTGTGGGAGCGTCTGCCGGAATCGGACGAGTTTGCCACGCGCAGAGTGTGCGAGGCCAAAGAGTATACGCAACGGACCTATGATGTGCTGCGTGAGGAGCTACATCGCTGCCAGGAGCTACGCCGTAAGAACATGAAATGTTTAATTGATCAGTTGCGTGAGGAAATCCAGAAGTGGTGGGAGCTGACTCTGAAATCACATCAGGAGCGAAAACGCTTTGCCAACTTTTACAACGATTGTTACAACGAGGATTTGTTGGAGCTGCATGAGCTCGAGCTCGATGATCTGAAGAGCTTCTACAATAGTAACAGAGAGATTTTTGAGCTCTTTTCTAGTCGCGCCGAGATTTGGGCACGTATGGAGGCTCTGGAGGCCAAGACCAACGATCCCAATCGTTATAACAATCGCGGCGGGCAGCTGCTGAAGGAGGAGCGGGAGCGCAAGGCCATAAGCAGCAAGCTGCCAAAAATAGAACAGCAGATTACCGAATTGGTGAAAGCCTATGAGTTGCGCACTCAGTCACCCTTTCTGGTTCATGGTGAGGACATATTGGAGCGCATGGCCAACGATTGGGAGCGCCTTCGACAGGTGAAGGAGCAGCAGAGCTCTACCCGCAAAAACACAGTTACGACTTCATCAATCCACAGAAAAATGCTCCCGCCAGCTGCACCAGGATCGACGGTTTCCCGGACGCCGCTGAAGGATATGTCAGCAATGTCTTCATCGACAATGTCGTTGCGCACAACTCCTTCCAATTGGAAGCTGGCTTCCATGAAAGGCCCGACGGCCAAGACCACTGGCAACCTGCACAAGCGGAAAATATCGAATTCCGATAATTTCGATAGGGAAGAGACGGCAAATGCGAAGCGAAGTCTAATTAGAACGTTGAATTCTGTGAAGGCGTCACCGAAATTGCGAAAACCCATCCAACGCCTAGCGGTTGGTCAACAGACAGCAAGGTCACAAAAGAAGGTGCACATTCTAGAGAACACAATGCGTCGTAGCGCCGGCGTAGGCCGGCGCAGTCTGTCCAGCAAACATCGGCGCCATAAGTTGGTACCGCCGGTTATCCAAGTGCAGGAGGCAAGCTCCAGCGAGGACGAAGATGAGGTGCAGAAGTACAAACATTTCGAGCCTCCGGCACGATCATCCGAGTTGCCCAAGGAGTTGAGCGTTCGTCACAAAAACAAATTCAAGGAGCCTGTGCAGATTTATTCGAGCGACGAAATAAACCCAGATCTGCTCAAGAAATGACATTATTTAATAATGGATTTTTTTATTTTTTATTATTATTTTGATCAACCAATGCACCTTTGTCCCTTGCCAGTGCTATTGTGTTAACGTTGATGTGTCTTTGATTTGCTTTAACTATTATTAAGTTATATGTAAGCATCTAATCTTAAAGTTAATCTGTTCAAAAATAAGAACCCCAAGCAATCAGATGCGCAAGCAAGGAAAACCTAAACGTGTACTTTCGAAAAGAACCAATCCTTAAAAATTATACATACATTTAAACATATTAATTAATAATACGACCTTATACATAGTCTTGTCGACTTAGTTTACATTTGTGTCTAGAATATAAAAAGCACGACTTGTAGTATTCATGTACTTGTAAGATAGCTCTTAACCAGACTATTTTAGCCCTCAAAACAAATCTCAACCGTCAAAATATGTATTAATTTGTAATTCTTATAAAACAAGAACAAAACAAACATCAAATTATATTAATTAAGTTTCCAAACAAGAGAAACACAACTGAAATTGACTATTAATATTAGAAACCGAGAGTAGACGAAGAAGTCTTCCATCGACCGATAGTTTGCGATCAATCGCACATATAAAAATATATCTTTATATAAATATCGGTTTTCGTGGGTGAATAAAGCAACTATTCCAAATCACAAACGTTGCTCGTCCACCTGGGAATCCTGCATCGACCCGCGGGGTTCCGGGATCAGAAGATGGGCAACTGAGGTCGACACCGATATGGATTCATTTGCAAAGCCAGCGATGTAAATTTATATATTATAAATGGATTATCTTTAACCCAAACAAAGTGATGTCTCTTGCATAAATATCACTGTTGATCCCCATCAATCCCCAATATATATTAAGTAGACAATCTTGTACATTTTTGAAGTCTCTATTTATTAGATTTCTTGAAAATAGCATTTTGGGTTTTGCAAAAAAAAAAAACTTTAGGATATCTGTATTAAATAATAACTTATAATTTAAGAAAAATTTTCGTATGTGTTTGCATCAATTTGATTAAAGTCAAAAATGCGGCTAGTTGTATATTTTAGGCATATTTTGGTAAAAGTTATTAATCATTTATTTTGGGGTTTTTCTTTTATGTTTTTTGTTTTCAATTATTTATAAGCTTAAGAAATGTTTGTAGGACTTGTGTTCTTGATTTTTGCCTTGCCTTAAAATTGATTTTATTGTTTCATTATTTAGATTAGATTAGTTGCAACTTCGGTTTTTTTTTAATTTTATTTCATATATTTTTTGAATGCTAAATGCATTTACAAAAATTTTGTTGAATATCTATTTAAATTAATTGTTTTCACATATTGTTTGTAAACTGCGTTTAGCTTAATAAGTACCGCACTTAAAATTAATTAATCATTGAAAACAGAAAAAAAAAGAATTTGGCTTATTAAAATTGGAAACGGTCTATTTTAATCAAAACTATACCGTGAGATGTGCTAAACTGAAGAAACCTTAAAAGAAAATACACTACAATTGAAAGTCAAAGATAATTGAATTGATCAAATTTGTTGTTTTTTTTTTACGGTTGTTGTTTGGAGCCGATGCTGCTGTTGTTGCAATGTAATATTATTGGGGGAAGAGAAAAGTGTTAGTCAGCGCCATATTTGTATCGATCATGTGCATTTAATTTAAGATTTGTGTTTTATTGTAACGAATGGATAATATATATAGGATAATGCAATGTGATTACAATCGAAATGTCGTAAAGCCGTGTGTTCTTGCGTCTCATCATCAAAGTGTTTAAAGTGTTTGTGTTGGCAATTGTTGTTAGATTTGCCCGCCAAATGAGTTGTTCGGTAATTGGCTTGTAACTTGCTACTCGCTATTCGCTACTCGTTACTCTTTGCTCGTCACTCGCTTCTCGTAACTGATTGCTTCTTAATCGTTAGTTGTAACTTGTTGCTTACGCTCGTCGCTTGTAACTCGCTACTCGCCACTTGTCACTTGATACTGCCTTTTGCTATTCAAACCATTAGCTTTTATAATTTTGGTTAACCATATCCACAAAATGAAAAGAAAAAAAAACTATGATGCCGATGTTCTGTTGTTAATTAGATCTCGTCAATGTCGATCTCATCGCCATCCTCATCATCGTGGGCGTTCTTCTTGTTAACAGCAGCAACGGCAGCGCTGACTGCGACCACCTTCAACGGTTCGACGCGAGCACGATCATCGTATTCGATTTCGACATCCGAATCACCGCCAGCATCATCATCGTCTTCGGATGAGGAATCCTCCTCCTCGGCATTTTTGAGCCATTTGACAAACGGTTCGACCTTCTCGTGTATTTCGGTAGCAATCTTCTTGGATACATGGCGCTTGCTCACCTTCTGGGCCCACTCGAGTATCTCCTTCTCATCGAGTATGTCCAAATCGTAGAAGATCTTAAAGATGCCAGCAACCTTGCTCATTAGCGAATTCGCATGCAGCTCGACGGTCTGCTCGATGCCACCAATCAGATAGCGTTGACCCTTCGGATTGTTGTGGGTGAAGCGCAGCAATAGGATGCGATTCTTGCGCACATCGTTAATGATGTTCTCGGTGAAGAGCAGCTCGGCCAGCACAAGCGGCGCCTTGTTGACAATATCCAGACGCTCGGCCTCAATCATTAGCTCCTTGTGCGTGGGCACATCATTCAGCTGCTTATTGTCACGCTTGCTCTTCACCAGCTCGTAAAAGATGTCAATGCGCTCCTTTTCTGTCTTATCGTAATCATCCGAAATGGTCATACCCTTGGCTCCATCAGTCAAATCCTGCAAACGCGCTCTTATTGCCTCCTGCAAAATATAAATTAAATATAACACATACATACATATATAAATATCTATCCATTTAGAATTCATAAAGGGATTGTGCTTTTACTACTGTCACATTATTATGCAGAGTATTTAGCTAACCTTGGAAACATCGACACTCCAGCCGCCATCGTCGTCATCCTCGTTAATGTTCTTCTCCGGTATGGCGGCACTGATTTCGGCTTCGGTTTGGCTGGCATGATTGGTGCCATTGCCGCCATCGGATTCGCCGCCCGAATTATTAGCCATGGAGTTGTTGGAAATGGAACCATCAGAGTTCTCATGCTTTTGCTTCTGCGTACGCTTCGAGCGCTTGCCCTCGGTTAGTGAGGGTGCCTTGTCGGCCGGATTCAACGATGGTGGATTCTTCACAATGTACGTGTTGACCTTGTGGTTCACCTTGAGCAGGCCATGGAAACCGCATGCCTTGCACGACTGCGAGATCGTTTGATTCTTGGCCGAGACGCTCAGATTCGTTTCCGGATTATCGCATTCGGGGCATAGTACGAATTTGCGTATGAAGCCATCCAGCAGATCCTGCAGCTTGTTCACATCATGCGATCCATTCACAATGAAACGCTCGTTCTGTGGATAATTCAGTTGAAATATATCGGGTATATATATATATATATATAAAGAGAATTCCTACCTTATGATCAAATTGCGTCTGGGCGCCCAGTTCGCAGCCAAAGTACTTGGTCGGATACGTTGCGGGACGTCCGATGGCGCGTGCCACTTCGGCCATGTTAACCAACACGGTCTTGATGCCATTGCCCTTGCCCTCGACTTTGGCTTGGAGGCGTGGCATCTTGTAGCGATAGAAGATGTCCGTCACACTGCGATTCACATTAACGGTCGCCATTTTGCAGCTGTTCTTTTTATTTGACTCCTCTCTTTGTTGTTTATAGCTTAGCTTGTTGCAAGTTGTTGGGGTTTATTGTATCTAGAATCTTGGGTTGACGGTTGACGTTTGTTGATGTTGTTGTTGATGTTGAGATATTGATGTTGGATGCTGGCGGCAATTTGGGGTTTAGTAGAGCGGTGATCAGCGATCGAGGATCGACTAATTTCAATTGTCTATGGAGTTTTGTGCGGCTGGCAGCGCCAATGTTTTGACTTTAGCGGCTATTTTACAGTTGCTTTGCGCTTCGTTCCCGTTCATTAAATTTGCTTTTGACTGAACGACTTTGATTTTGATGGTCTGCTCTAGATCTTATTAATTGGGATGAATTCCGACTGCGATTCGGACTCCGACTTCGATTTCGATTTCGACTCCGACACCAAAACCGACACCGACACCGACGACTTTGATTCACTGCGCATCGACAACGACTCGTGCATTAAAAATGTGGCTAACAAATTTGATTGGATTTTGAATTTGGTTATAGTTTATATCCGCCTTCTTCTTCTTCTTCTCCGTCTTCTCTCGCGGATTGGGTCCTGTTGTGTTGTGTGTGTGGCTCTCTTTCTCTCTATCGGGTGCTTCCTTTTATCTTTTTCTATTCGCATGTAGTGCGTGGGTAAATATTATTTTATATGTATGCCTTTTCTATATCCGGCATAGTCTTATCTATTGGTGTTTTTTTTTTTTTTTAGTTTTTTGGTTTTTAATTTTTTTTTTTTATTTTTGTATTTTTTTTTATTTTATTTTTTTTATATGTTGTAAAAATCTATTGGAACGGTACAAGGGTTGGCTCACGTGTACCTGAACGGCTGTAACTTCCGATGTCTGTTACTTGAAGTCCTGTAGTGAAGAGAGAAAAACAATCATAAAATAATTCAAGTTCAACAGCAATTATTGTTTATAACTAGTGAAAAGCTTGACTATCAACACATATGCAAAAATAGATGGACAACATCCATCAACTGTAAAGTTAGCAAATAACAAGCAAGTTTTGTCATTTAATATAAATAGAAAAAGTATCTGCTTGATTTAGTCCATTACTAAACATTTAATGCAACACACACACACACACACACACACATGCAAGCAATAAATAATCGATAGCAGCTGTGCTCCTGTGTATCCGTGTGACCCAATTCAGGCGAAACTCTACCCTCAGGCAGCTGGCGGCATGTAGATATTTGTGTATGTATATGTGTATATGCGTATGCGTGTTGCAACCTGGTATTTACATATAGTATATGTTATGCATATATAATGCTCACCGATGACTTATAGTTCGCCTCTTTGAATTCATGCACAGTTCGAAGCTTTTACTCCGTTTTTGTGGAATTGGAGGTGCGCCTTTTTTTGCTGGTGTTTCTGCAATAGAAAAATATACAAAAACAATCAGAATTTTATGCGAAAATGGCATTTATCTGGAAAATAATATTATTAATAGGTGTACATGTAGTTTGTGATGCATATATACGTAGATGGGAGTAATGAACACATCCCTAAATTTCAATATAACAGAAATTCTTCTTTCTTATCTTTACTTTAACAATTTTGATTTTGGAGCTATGGAGAATTCTTCGGAATTGGGTGCCTGAAAACAATAACTTTAAAATATGGTTATTAATTCGTAAATGTATAATGGAAGGTGTTTTCTTTATCTAATATCGAGATTGTTTATGTAAAAGTATGTAATAAACACATGTTAACAAAAAAAAAAACAGAAAAACCATATAAAATCCATAATTCGCTCGAAACTTAGAAATTGATATTTACTAAAATACTGCATACGAATTGGTATTTCTCTAATAACTACGATTTTCTAATGTCGATCAGCTTCCACTGTTTTGCTTTACAATTGCAATTCGAATTTGTCTTTCAATTGGTGGGTAGAAATTATTTACTTTATATGTTGTACATTTTGTGTATTATACTCAAAATGATCACCTGTGGAACCGAAGCTTTACAATTGGTAAGCGTTTAGTGTCATTTGAAAAGTGCCCCCCGTTTTAGCTTACCCACATAGGCATACAAATAGGCCAGCAAGTAAACATTGGAAAAGCCCACTTTAAAACACACACAAAGAGGACACACTGAACGGTTTCGATTTGATCTGATTTTTGGTTGTTGTTGAAGTTTGTTTGGGGCTAGAACGATGGATAGCTCTCTCGCTCTTAAGCCTGACTTTTAGTGCCGCCTCATCGGCTCTCTTCTTTTGATACGCAGTAATTTCGAAACAAAGCTCAGCCAGAAGTGCGACCACATCAAAAATGCTGGTAATGTTTCAATATGTAACCGAGAATTTAATAGATATATATATATCTATATATATATATATATTTTTTTTTTTTTGTTTTTTCAAATACTTTTGCTTGTACGCTTAATTTGAATTGCACATTTGATTAAACGTAGATGAAACTCACTGAAAATTTGATTTGAGATTTATTCTGTGGAATAATTTCGCTAAGTTTGTAAATTTTCAAGTCGAATATGGGGACTGATTTTTGAGTTGTTTTCTGCTCTGATTGACAGTTAAATCAATGCCCTTGAATTTTCGAGAATTATCCTTAGTGACGCTGAGACATTAGAGTAAATCGATTAATCGATAAATATGTCCAGTTACACTGACAGATAGAAAGAGCGAGCGAGACAGAATGAGTGAGAGGGGGATCTGCATTTAACAGACGAGTAGCCTAACTAACAGCAACAGAAGAGTCGTGCTCTGTTAAAATAATGTCACTTTACAGCCGAGTACAGGATAAAATTCCAATAGGAACTGACTGGTGGCTGTGTGTCTGAGTGGTTGTGTCTCTGTGTGTGTGTGTGTGTGTCTGTGAGTGTGGGGTCTGTCTATTGTGTGGTGTGTCTATTGTGTGCGGTGTCTTGTGTGGAAAACTGTTAACTCACCGCTGAGGTCATAGGTAATGGCCACAGTATGTCGCTGGATGGTTAAATCGCACAGCATATGATGCAGCTCGCTTTTGTAGTTCGTTGTCACGAGCAGGAGCTGAACGAGCGCGGCCAGAAATTTGAATGGCAACGTCGACGTCAACGTCAACGACAACTTCAATTGCTTGGGCGGCGTCAGGTTGATGTCGTTTTCTCAGGCAGTTGGCACACACACCACAGTGTTTAACGGGATCTTGCTTAACAGTAAATGTTGCACTCAATGCAAACCTATTAATGTTATTATTAATGTTAATGTTGGCAGCTTCAACGGTTTCCTTTTCGCTCTGTTTTTTTTTTTTTTTCATCGAGCCGATTATTATTTTCGATTTTGTTATCGTAATGTTGAAAGCAAATATTATGCAGCCGACAAAGCGACAACAAATTAAGAAATACCAAAGACAAAGCGTAAAGAGCATTAAAAAACGTTCAATACAGTGTCAATTTGTGAGTGTGACGGATAATATTACGAAAAATGACAAAATATCAAAAACGAAAACAACAACAAAAACAAAAGACTCCCCCCTCCCCCTCCCCTCCTAGCAATTTGTATATGGCAAGTCCAGACAACAACAATTTAACAACTTAACGATCGGATGTGTTTGTGTTGCCTCTGTTTCTACTGCTCCTTAATGGGCTGCAATGTTGACGTTGATGTTATTGTTATTGTTATTGCTGCTACTGTTTCGATTTCCAATAAATTGATTTATCGGTAGGTGGTTCATCGATGATTTGTTGGTCTTTTTCGTCTCTTTGTTGTGTAAATTTTTGCTCCGTGGCTGATTTTTGCACGATTTGGATGCTTATATTGAAATATTTGTATAATAATAATGCCATGCATTTTAATTGATTGCAAAATATAGAAAAACTTAAAGCAAATAAAAAATATGTATATGTATATGCATATATATATATATATATGTATACATTGACAAGTTTTTTCGGATTTCGGATTTCGAATTTTAATTCAATTGCAGCAATAAGTACAGAAAGAAAAAAAACGAACAGCACCAACAACAATAACAAGGCAACTACTACTTGACATGGACACAGTCACACACACACACACAAACACACACAGCACAGGCAACTCAGAAAAAAATTCAATAATTACAATGCCAAATGGCATGGGGCAAGGCAACGTTTCTCAGTTTTCCCAATAAGTTTTCAGAGTTTATTTTCTCGCAACATTTTGGCACACGTGCACATCAGGTGCGACGGAGAGGGGAACGAGTAAAACAGAATAAATAAATAAATAAAACTGCTGTTAAATACTTTGTTTCCTAATTTTGTGCGTGTGGAAAATTTATTGTCACGGGAAAGGAAAGTCGGGAAAACTTGCGATATGTTTAACGCTGACGAATAAACTAACTGCTGAGCGATGCTGAGTAGCAGCAGGCCCAATACATCGTCCTGGCGGGGATGGAATCAAAGGCACGAGCGAAACAGCAGTTCGTCTTCGTCGTCGTCCTCGTCGTCATCGCCCTCGCACTGCGCATGTGCCGTGGCCCTTGCAGCACCAAACAGATGTTTCCGACAACCGCTCCCCCAATACAACCCCACCCCACCGCACCCATCACTGACGTCGCTCGCTTCACATGTAATGCAATTGTGTGGTCATTTTTTCCCCACACACTGTTAACATACATATTGGTTAAGCTGTATGTTGCGTGCATGCTATTAACATTTGCATTGCATTTGCCTTATGCAGCAAATTACCGTTTTTGAAGGCATCCTCAAAAGTAGGCAGCGGCAAAAGGAGCGATTGAAACATCAATCAAAAAATGACCCAAACAACTACAGCAAAACTTCTACTTCAGAGCGAATTTCAATATGTATATGTGTGCGTGTAACTGTAAACTGTGTGTGTGTGTGCGAGCGAAAGCTGCTGCACTGCAAACAGCTGAGAGAGAGAGAGATAAAGAGAGCGCACAAGAACAACAAATATTCTATATGAATGCATGAATACCCTGTTGGACATGGATAACACACATCTATATTTATCTACACACATGTTTATATATTTTTTAACTGCCCCATTAAACTGCAACACTAAAAAGATTTTTTTACAATTCTATTTTTAATAATTTAAGTTAAAAGAATTTGATAAGTAGAGTTCATGTTTTTTTTTTAGAAAACCATACGTTAAAAAGTTGGCTAGTTATAATTAGAATTACATAACTTGATCACTGGGTATCTACCAAGAGGTGCAAACCTGTCGCATTTCCCATTTATTTTTGTATACTTAGCAGCACTTGAACAATTATGGTGAGCAGCTCTTTTTCTAGAATCGCATGACTAATGCAATTAAACGATGGCATTCATATATATTACACATTTTCTTTATGTACGATATATCTATATATATACATATAAACGTGCACAGCTGTTGTATACAAGATTTCTCGTTAATTACAACGTTGTATACATTCTCTCTCTCTCTCTCTCTTCATCCGAGGCATTGAAAAAGAAAAACGCGACTTTCATTTCAAATTCACAAAGATTTGTGTCTGGCACCTAGAAATACGTATTTCAACGAAATTAAATAGTTAAAGCGACACTAATCAAAATTCAGCCTTTCAATATATTTTCAACAAAGGAAAGAGAAATGCATAAGAGAGATAGAGAGAGAGAGACGGAGAGGTGCTCACTTAGGGGTGGTGCAGTGGGGTGAGTTGAGTGAGCGGAAACTGTTTCTGTTTTTGCGTTGTCCCCTTGTTGAAATGACCAACAGAGGCACGACCAAAAGTGCGTAAACGCAACGTGCAATATCTGTTGCATGGGCTGGCAGCAGGCTCAAGCAACCACAAGTGACCAGTGACAAGCTGTTAACTGTAGTCAACAGTGGTAGATGAACCAAGTAATGCGAAAATAAGAAGTAGAATCCAATGTGAATCAGATAAACAATTTGATTGCCACAAACAGATGTGCATAAGATAAGCCTTTTACAAGTTTTTCATCGTGTGATGAATTTTCCACTCAAGCTTCAAAAAGGGGCCATAAAACACTTGCTTTAAGCAATAAAAACAAATCATTTTAATTTTTATTTTCGATAATTTTAATTCTGATCTAATTGTTTATATGGTCGATAACACTCAGTTACTCAACTTAAGACTTATGGACGTTACTTCGAGTTACTTTAAGAAGGGGATTGTATTGCAAGACACGCAGCTAAATGTGGATAGATCGCAACCAGATGTGACCCCAGGCGAGGCATTTGCAGCTGAAACTAGCAAGAGGCATGTGATGATACCGACCCAGTAATACAATGATGCGGGGCAGTATTCGGCAATCGACCAATGTCATAAACTGGTTTTTCACTCTCTTTTTTTATTTATTTTTTTTTAATTTTGATCAGTGTGTTGTTATTGTTTTGGGCGCGCGCTTGCAAAATGTCAAACAAGAAAATTTAAACAGAAACCTACTGCTGCGTTCAAATGCAAATGAAACTGGTAACTAAACTAGGTGTTTGGTGGGCAGGAGATATATATCCACTGACCGAGGCCATAAAATTGAGATTGATTACGTATTGTCTTTGGGCCTAAAATGAACAATTACTTGGTGGTTTAGTGTAAATAAAACTGGCCTGCTAAACAGTGGCTGCACACTAACAGAGCACTGTTAAATAACAGTTCCACATAATAGTAGTTCCGTGTGCGAAATGTAAACGTGTCCATGTGTGTGTGTATGTACGTGTGTAAGTATGTCGATCGGTTACGCCATGAGCAGAGCACACAGCACATACTTGAAACTTAACAGACAACAATAACAATAAAAGTGCACAGCAGACAAACCTGTATGGGGAGAGTACGTAGTACAGGGCAAGAAAGGCAGCAGAGAAAAACAAAAAAAATATACGTCAAATGTGTAATGATATTTACGACATGATGTTCGTGATCTTCAATTGCGTAGGTGAAAAGCAGAAAAGAGAAAAACAATAAATTTAAACATATTGTTGTTAGATCTGCGAAACCGACTACAAAATTTCGCTTCAGCTCATTAGATTAACATGAAATAATTTGGATGGTTAATTAAACGAATTGCATCGCAAAGCACCCACACACACGCATGCACACGCTTGCAAATATAGATACAGATGACTTACATACATTTAAAAATAATTCCAGCAAACAATTTGCTAAGCAAAGAACCTTGCAAATGTAAATAGAGATAAATAAACAGCCTGAAGAGTTCAGATCGCAGTTTCTACATACACATACACACACACACACATATATATATATATATATATATATATATATATATATATATATATATATATATGTTTATATTGTGTATTTCATTTTACATACTCACTGCAAGTATATATGTAAATATATATATGTGTATATAGTAGCAGGTGTTCTCTGCCTTAAAAGAAAAGGGCAATGGGGAGGGGGGATAACATTTATTCAGTATTCATGTTAAGCCACTGTTTGTTCGTCTGTTTATACAATGAACTCTCGATAATTAGAAACAGAGTATTTGTTATTGTTTGCTTATAACATAAAACAGATCGCCGATTCACACCTCAAATAGTGCAAATACAATGCTATCCATAAATAAAGAATTCAAATTCCTCTTGATAAAAAGAAGACTGTTACGTGTGCTTAGTGGATAGACTACCTGATCTAATCTATCGCTGAACTGAACTCGCAGTTATTTGCATAATAATAATAATAATAATAGTAATAATAATAGATAAATAGATATGAGCGTGAATCAGATATGTGTAAGTGTAGTAAGAATATGCATCTCGTGTTCTCGATTCTCAATTGGCTTTACTTACCACTTAATCTTTCAAAAGTCATATAAGATATTATGTTTCCCCTGCTTGGGGTGCGCAATGCAATCTCTCGAATTAGATAAGTAAGTGAATGAATAAAACTGTCTCCTCTCCTCCTCCTATCAACACGACGACGGGACGGTTCACCAAAAATTGTCAGATTTGATTTGATTTCTGCGTTCGTCGGTTCGTCGTTCTTCGATGGATGATGTATTCCTTTTGTTTTGCCTGCTTGCCTTGTTGATTTATTTATTTATATATATATATCTATATGTATGTAGTAAATATATATATATATATAATGTGGGTAACCGTAACTGATGCTCTTATAATGGGTTTTTTATGCCTTTGTTACTTTTCGTTTCGTTTGCTTTATTTTATTTTTTTGTCGCCACGTGAGAATATCGGGCAACTGTAAAAAAATAGATTCGCTCTTTGCGATGGCCGCTAGGAGCGCTAACCACGCGAATAGCTTTTGGATTTGTTGTTGTTTGTGGTTGCTTTTCGCTTGTGTAGCTGCTGTTGCAAAAACTCTGCAATGAAATAAAAATACATACATATGAAACAATTTTGTTTACTGCATTGTAACAACTGCAACAACAAATGATTTGCCTATATTGATCGAATGATGCAAAATGATTTACAATATGCAAATGTTAATTGCGCATGTTGCCCAACAGCAACCGCAACAGCAACAGTGGCCCCTCAGCTGTTAACTTGCTGTTGACTATCCGTGTGCGTATATATGTCGTGTGTGTGTTTATGTGTATGTATGTATGTGTACAGTGTGATTGCTTGTGTCTCATTTGTTGTTGGTCTACAAAATACGAAATGAAACGAAACGAAACGTGCGCAGTACACTAAAAATACAGCAACGATTTTCGTATTCCTTTCCAAATAAATAGCTTATGGGCTGTGGGAAATTGCACACAAGCACAGGGTCAAACATATATATATGAATGTATTTCGCAACATGAACAATTGTTATTGAATGCTTATCTCGTAAATGTTAGCTGGCAAAATTCGTCTGTTAAAATATCGCACAGATATTTAACGTCAACACTGCACGTAATTTTTTTAATTTTACTGCACACACACACACACACACAAACACAAATCTATATATATATGTACACATGCACAGACACAATGGAAGAGGCCACGCCATTTAACCTTTTTGAGGTTGTGTATGCTACTTAAATATTTTTTATTACCTTTGTCTTGTAACTCAAATCAATATGGATCTTGAATTCACCAATTACATAGATCGTTTACGTGATATGGAAATATAAAATTTCAAACGGCTCTGATTTTCGCTTCGTTGATACGACGACAAACTGCTGTGCACTAATAGTGATGCAAGGAAATTTGCAATATATCGATAGTTCGATGTTGATGGTATTAAGTAGTCATCGCATACCTTTAACTATATCGAAATATCGCAACTTAATATTCATCGTACTTTTATATTTATTATTTATGTTAACTATACCTTTATCTATTTGTTTTAAATAAATTATGAAACGCTGACTGTATGCATCAAATGAATTTTTATTTTCACATCGAGAATATCAAAATAACATGTTAATTTGTTGCTGTTGTTCATGCATTAAGAAAATTGAATAAGCAAATTGACCAAATATTAGCTCTTTGTCATCGATATCTGATATTTATAGCACTTTTAATCGACAGTAGTCATTATGGATAGGTGGCATCGCTGCAGCCTGTTTACAATCATCGATACTTTGAGTACCGTGCCGGCAGCGTGTTGTCATATGGTTTGAAAAGTGGGTTTTACTGCTCGATTGTGGAGCTAATTGTGGGTATTCGATTGGAACAGACGCTATGCCCAAAGAGCAGTTTCGCGCCTCGGCGCTTAACAAGAAAATGTGAGCAGAGCTACTAAATGTTTACCGTGGCCGATATATTATTATTATTTTGATTTCAGCTCACATGTGCAGTTTGGCATCAGCGGTTCGGATGAGATTCAGCAGGAGTCGCTGGTGCGGATTATATCGAAGAATCTGTATCAGGCACAGCGCCAGCCGGTGCCTTATGGCGTTCTCGATCGCCGCATGGGCATCAGCACTAAGGATGCGTTGTGCGAGACATGCGGCCAGGGCTTGAACGAGTGCATCGGGCATTTTGGCTATTTGGATTTGGCGCTGCCTGTCTTCCACATTGGGCACTTTCGTTCCACGATCAGCATACTACAGATGATCTGTAAGACGTGCGCGCACGTCATGCTCAAGCCAGAGGATCGCATTGTCTTCGAGAAGAAACTGCATAATCCGAATTTCTCGTATCTGGGCAAAAAGGCGCTGCACTCCCAGATGCTTGCCAAGGCGAAGAAGGTGACCAAGTGTCCATACTGTATGGCCTCCAATGGTGGTGTGAAGAAGGGCCCTGGCCTCCTCAAGATTCAGCACGATCCGTATAAGGGGCGCAAGAAGGATGCGCACTTCAACAATCACATGGACGAAATGCTGCGGTCCACGGAACTGAATCGTGATCTCAACCAAACGCTGAGCAACTATAGCGCCGCCGAGGAGTTAACGCCCCTCATGGTGCTCGATCTGTTCGAGCAGATACCGCAGAGCGATGTGGCGCTGCTGGGCATGTGCTCTCGCGGCGCTCATCCCAAACACTTGATAGTCACTCGCGTCTTTGTGCCGCCGGCCTGTATACGTCCGTCGGTGCTGTCCGAGGTGAAGGCCGGCACCACCGAGGACGACTTGACAATGAAACAAAGCGAGATTCTGTTAATTAACGATGTTATCCAGCGACACATGGCCACCGGTGGTAAGATTGAGCTAATACACGAGGATTGGGACTTTCTGCAGCTGCATGTGGCACTGTATTTCCACAGTGAGATCAGTGGCATACCACTCAATATGGCACCGAAGAAGACGACGCGTGGCATTGTGCAGCGCTTGAAGGGCAAACAGGGACGATTCCGTGGCAATCTGTCTGGAAAGCGTGTGGACTTCAGTGGTCGCACCGTCATCTCACCCGATCCCAATCTGATGATCAATCAGGTCGGCGTACCGGTGCGTGTCGCCAAAATTCTCACCTATCCGGAACGTGTGAATCCGGCGAATATTCGCATAATGAAACAACTGGTTCGCAATGGTCCCAGCGTCCATCCGGGCGCCAATTATGTGCAGCAGCGTGGCTCCAGTTTCAAGAAATATTTAGCCTACGGCAATCGCGAGAAGGTCGCCCAGGAGCTCAAGTGCGGCGATATTGTGGAGCGGCATCTACGTGACGATGACATTGTGCTCTTCAATCGCCAGCCGTCGCTGCACAAGATGTCGATCATGTGCCATCGGGCCAAGGTGCAGCCACAGCGGACGTTTCGCTTTAACGAGTGCGCCTGTACGCCGTACAATGCGGATTTCGATGGCGATGAGATGAATCTTCATTTGCCGCAAACGGAGGAGGCACGGGCCGAGGCCCTCATCCTTATGGGTAATCAATCGAATCTGGTGACGCCAAAGAACGGTGAGATATTGATTGCGGCAACGCAGGATTTCATCACTGGCGGCTATCTGCTCACCCAGAAGGAGGTATTTCTCACCAAGGAGGATGCCATGCAGCTGGCCGCCTGTTTTCTGGCTAGCGAGGATTCAACGCTGCGCATTCAAATGCCGCCGCCAGCCATTTGGAAGCCGCGTCGCCTGTGGACGGGCAAACAGATGTTCAGCCTGCTGATGCGACCCAACGATGACAGCAAAGTGCTCTTCAACATGGTCAACAAAGGTCGCAACTATGCCGGCAACATGGATCTCTGCGTCAACGATTCCTGTGCGTATGTTGCAACTTGTATGCCTCTCTAATCCAACTAACCTTACTCTCTCTCTCTGTCTCTGTCTATGCCAGGGATTCATATACGAAACTCGGAGCTGATGTGCGGCACCATGGATAAGGCGACAATGGGCTCCGGCACCAAGCAGTGCATCTTCTATCTGCTGCTACGCGACTTTGGCGAAGCATTCGCCACCAAGGCCATGTGGCGATTGTCTAGGGTGCGTATTATCTAGTTCCTATCTCTCTCTCTCTCTCTCTCTTCTCTTTCTCTCTCTCTCTCTTCTCTCTCTCTTTCTCTCTCTGCTCTCTTCTCTCTCTCTCTCAATTATGCTCGATTAACATTTAACTGATCCATTTAATAAGCATTGTCTTCATTTATAAAGTGATTATTGTGCTGCATGTTCAGCTTAAACTTCAAGCTTCAAATCTGAATAATTCCCATAAGATATTTCTATATATATATATACTCGTATATATATATTAATTGGTTCTCATCACCTTAGTGCTTGCAAGTGTTGATTTTTATAAGTTTCTCTGACCTTAGATAGCCGTAATTGCAATTGTGTCAACACTGACCAGGTGAAGTATTTTATTATCAAGGAATGTGGATGAATTGTTGTATCTGATAACAGCGAGAGTGATTCATGTGCCAGCTTTCGACTCGATAACGATAACGATAACTCAATGTCAAGATTATAATTGGAGCGATGGATTGCTTGCTGTACAAAACTGACCACCGGAACTGACCACCGCAGAGCCATTTATTTCAGCTGTCGAATCGATAACGTTATCGATAACGGCGATTGATAATAAGCAGCGCTGCACTTGAATATTTTCGCCGTTATTCCCATATGATCAGGAGACGGGAAGGGGGGGGGGGAGCGAGTGATCGGGGACAGTGGTGAAGACATGTCTTATCTTATCTGTTAATTCTTGGGGATTTCCAAGTGGCATATAATTGTGAAATATTGGGAAGTCGATTTGAGAGGTGCGCTTTTTGTTGTTGTTGTATTTATTATGTTTTTTAAGGCAGGCTCAAACCTGTTGTCTCCGATATATAGTCGAGGAATGAGGTTAGACGCACATAACCCGAGGGGAGGCCGGCAGTGCACTGATCCTCGGCGACAAACGAATTGATACCAATCTGTATCCAGCGTCCAGCGTTGCTGTTGTAAGCGATTAGCGGACCGCCAGAGTCGCCACTGCAGGTGGACATATTGCTGCCCACAGCGCCCTCGGCACACATTGTCGAGGCGAGCACAACACTCGATCCGAAAATGGACGCACACCTGTCGTTCGCTATGATCTGCACGTGGGCAAAGAGCAGCTGCTGCGAGTAATCCAAATACTCGTCATCGATCAGACCAAAGCCCGCAATGGTTGCCTGTGTGCCCACATATGTGTTGCTCGATTGGCTACTAGATACCAGCTGGATTGGCTGCACCGTGTTGGAGAAGCTTAGCTGCTCGGGCAGCTGGATGAGTGCCACATCATTGTTCATCTTATCATTGTAGTTGGGATGCACAAATAGCTGCGTTGATGTCATATTTAATGCCTGCTCGTCGTTCAGCTCGACGGTGCCAAAGACCAGGAACAACGACTGATGGCCATAGGCACAGTGGCCAGCGGTTAGCACCCAACTATTTGAGATAATGGAGCCACCGCAGAGCAAATCATCCCATTCATCACGCTTCAATATCACCTGCCACGGAAATTGGCCAGGCGATGCCTGCTGTCCGGATATAATGCGACCCTTCTGCAAATCACCCCAAAACAAATCAAGATTATCATTTCGATTTCGATTTCGATTTGGATTTAGTTCAAGTTTTATATTTTTGTCTTACTGGGTCGAGTTCCAATTGTTGTTGTTGTTGTTGTGGCGCCGCATCTGCCAACAGCAGGAGCACTGTTAGCCACAATATGCCGGCGAACAATCCTTTCTCACATATTGTTGCTGTTGTTGTTGTTGGAGCTCTTCTCATGATTTTGTGGTTTCTGCGCTCGTTTATTGCTCGGTTTCGTCTGCGCCGCTTTTGCTCGATTTTCGCAATTATATGCGGGGCCCCCAAATGCAGGCCACTGTCAAAACCACACCACAACCACTCCGTCTCTCTCTCTCTCTCTCTCTCTCTCTCTGTCGCGCTCTGCCAACCCATTTGCCAGTCTTTTGCTTTGTACTTTAGTACAATACTTTTTTGTATTTTTTTTTTATTAAATCAAGCAGTCGTGTTCTTGTTATTTGGCCAGCTCGGCAGCGCTGCTCTTTCGATAAGATTAATTACTCACACGCCAATACTGCCTGCCCTCGCAGCTGCCTCTCTGCTGCTGCTGCTGCGGCTGCTTAACGCTTTTTCCCTATTATTATTTTTATTTGTTCTTGTCTCCACTGTCAATTCCTTTTGTCCAACCAAACGAACCAAGTTTGTAGCTCTTATCACTGATAATGTGACGCGCTTCGTGCCTCAACACCAGACAACAGAATTCAGCCTTAAGTGGATCTTGTCTTTTACTATATATACTCGATTCTAGCTCTATATATATATATACACACATATATATATTCTCTCCCGCATTTGTCTAGTTACTTAACTTTAGGACTGCAATTCGCATTTTCTACTTTGAGTATAAAATAAATGAATAAACATTGTCGGTATTTAAAAACGATCAATTGCAGATCAGCCAGTAAAACGTTAACGAATGTCACACAAAGCAGAATAAAAAACTCTAAAGAGACTGAGAGAGAAAGAGAGCAAATGTACACCATTTTCACAAACTTATTTCATTATTATATAAATAGACAAATCGATCAAATAAATTAACAAACATCAGCCAGTAAAACGTTTACGAATGCCACACAAAGCATTAAAGAGATCTCGAGAGAGAGCATAAGGTTTTAATAGCCACTCCAACACTGTACACCATTTATTCAAACTTATTTCAGACTTACTTATAGAAATCGAGACAAATCGATAAATTCTTTAATATTCCCCCATTTGGGTGTCGAGTGTAATTTAATTAGCTCCCCCCTGACAATGTTGCTTGTTTCAACAAGCGAATTTAACCAATTAAAAGACATGCAATGAATTATTTACGTGCTTAGCACTTGTTACCCTTAACCTTGCTCCCCATGCGGCTCTTCCTCATTTTTGACGTGTTAGGCGACTTATCAAAATCTCGAGACGACTTTCGCTAGAATTATTTTTGGTATTAGGGCTGACAAGATTTGGTGGCCTCGGCTTGACGGCTTTATTTTTAAACGAGTACTGAGAAATCGTCACAATAAACTTTAAATATCTAAGAAGTAAACAGTAAATGAGTTTCAATTATAAATAACTTTGTGTGTCATATTGCAGATTGCATCGTATTTCATACAGAATCGGGGATTCTCGTTTGGCATCAGTGATGTGACGCCGAGCGCAAAGCTGCTGCAGCACAAGCAGGTCCTGCTGGAACGGGGCTATGCCAAGTGCAACGAGTACATCGAGAAGCTCAAATCGGGAACTCTCCAATGCCAGCCCGGCTGTACGCCCGAGGAGACTCTCGAGGCCGTAATGCTGCGCGAACTGTCCGGCATCCGTGAGCAGGCGGCGAAGACCTGTTTTGCCGAACTGCATCCCACAAATAGTGCCTTAATCATGGCCCTCAGTGGCTCCAAAGGATCGAACATCAATATCTCGCAGATGATCGCCTGTGTCGGCCAGCAGGCTGTCAGTGGCAAGCGAGTGCCAAACGGTTTTGAGAATCGAGCACTGCCCCACTTTGAGAGGCACTGTAAGTATGTTGTATGTTGTTGGAATTCTTTTCTATTCGTTACTTGTTGCCTGCCTGCTACACATACCACTCGTTACTCTACTCGCTGTATGTTGCTCGTTACTCATTTCTTGTAAGTTTTCATTAAATGTAGTGCATGTCGTTGAATGTCACTCGTTACTGTTTACTCGTTACATCTGTTACTCGCAAATTATCACTTCTTAATTGCTCGTTAATGTCGGGCCACTCGTTATGAATTAAATCTCATTTGTTGCTCGTCACTAGTGACTTGTCCATTCCTTCTCATAGTTATTCGTTATTCGATCGTTACACACCAATTGCTGTTCGTTACTTATCGTCACTCGCTACCCAAATTTGACTCGTTACAGCTGCGATTCCCGCCGCTCGTGGTTTCGTTGGGAACAGCTTCTACTCCGGCCTGACGCCCACCGAGTTCTTCTTCCACACGATGGCTGGTCGCGAGGGTCTCGTCGATACGGCTGTCAAGACGGCCGAGACGGGCTATCTGCAGCGTCGTCTGGTCAAGTGCTTGGAGGATCTGGTTGTCCATTACGATGGCACCGTGCGCAATGCCATCAACGAAATGGTCGATACCATCTACGGCGGCGACGGCCTCGATCCCGTCTCAATGGAGACGCGCAACAAGCCCGTCGATCTCCATCACCAATACGACAATCTGCGCGCCCAGCAGCCAATTGGCGATCAGCTTCCGCTGCAGTACGACGAGATACTCAGTGTGGCCGACTGGATGCTCAAGCAGAAGGAGTTCAAGGAAGCGCGCGCTGACTTTAAGCTGGATGTGACGTGAGTGTACTCTTAAAAAAAACTAATCGAATCCATTATCAATTGATGAAGTAAAGTAAAACCAACAATATAAAACATAAATATATATTTATTTTATTGGTTAGCAATCATCTGAAAATGGTATCCAAGCGGATTGGTCAGCTGCAGCAACGGTATGGTGAGCAACATCAGGTGCTGTGCAACCAGATCGAGTCCATCAGCCAGGAGCAATTGCTGGAGTTTCTGCGTCGCATCAACGATCGCTACAATCGGGCTGTCACCGAACCGGGCACCGCTGTGGGTGCTATTGCGGCACAGAGTATTGGTGAGCCGGGCACACAGATGACACTGAAGACGTTCCATTTCGCTGGTGTCGCCTCCATGAACATAACACAGGGTGTGCCGCGCATTGTCGAAATTATCAATGCAACGAAATCGATATCGACACCAATTATCACCGCCGAGTTGCGTAATAATAAGAGCATGGAATTCGCCCGCCAGGTGAAGGCGCGCATTGAGAAGACAACGCTCGGTGAGCTCTCCTCGTATGTGGAGCTTGTCTGCGGTCCATATAGCTGTCATCTCGTTATTAACATCGATGCGGCGCGCATTAAAGTCCTGGGACTATACATCGATCTGGATACGATAATAGCCAGCATTTTGAAGTCCCGTCTAAGGATTAAGCCCGGCCAGGTGCATGCCATACCCAAAAAGTCACGGATCATTATCCGTGTCGAGTCGACAAAGAATGCGACAATTAATGCGGAACTCGCACGACTGGCGATCACCATACAGAATGTCGTCGTTGGCGGCTTACCGAATATAGCACGCGCTGTCATCGCCGTCGACGATGCCCAACAGCCGCCGACATATAAGCTGTGCATCGAGGGTTATGGTCTGCGGGATGTGATTGCCACGTATGGCGTTATTGGCGAGAAAACACGCAGCAATAACATTTGCGAGATTTATCAGACACTCGGCATCGAGGCGGCGCGCACCGTTATTATGAGCGAGATTACGGACGTGATGGAGGGCCATGGCATGAGTGTCGACTGGCGTCACATTATGCTGCTGGCCAGCCAGATGACGGCACGCGGTGAGGTGCTCGGCATCACCCGGCATGGCTTGGCCAAAATGCGTGAAAGCGTCTTCAATTTGGCATCGGTAAGTATTCGATCTATTATCGAGTTTGAATATATCAATCCCCATTGCTGACACTCATCGACATCATGATCTTTCGACAGTTCGAGAAGACAGCGGATCATCTGTTTGATGCCGCTTACTATGGCCAAATGGATGCAATTAATGGCGTCTCGGAACGCATTATATTGGGAATGCCGGCGGGCATTGGCACTGGGATATTTAAGCTGTTGCAGCATCACGAGGACAAACAGGTGCCACCCATCCAGACGACCATATTCAATGAGCTGAAATTGACGCCGCTTACATAGCACCATCCCAATAGCATCCCAATTAGGAGAGCAAAGCATCCGCCCGCCACTCACTCAGTTCCTGTGAAATGCCGTAGCAGATAATAGTCGCTTTATTATTAGTTAATCAGCTTAGTTAGACAACGCCATGTTTTCCAAATCAAACGTCACAAATCCCAAACGCCTGTAAATCAATTCGGCTTATCGATACAAATCGATTTTCTGCTTCATCGATTTCTAATGGAGAATGGATATGCCGTCTACGACTTATGCTGAGAACTTGGTTTCAAGGTATCTCCTAGCCGAGCTCACCCGACTGCAGCATTCTCTTATGTCGAAATAAACAAACTGTTGGTAATTCAGCTGATGTTTGTGGATCGAGTTAAATTGTAAGTAATCACTGTTGTTCACAATTTGGCTACTGATATGATCTCTGCACTATGTGGATAGACATGCTGAAATAGTTGGAACAAATTGACCAATACATCATAGCTAGTGATTACTGTGGCACGCCTAAGTGTTTTTAGCTAACACAGATAGATTGTGAAAGCGAATTAATAAACAATAAACTTGACAACGAACTTTTAAGTAATATTTAAAATGTATTGCATACTTTTAAGATTAAATAAAAATATAAGAACTGAAATTTACAGAGAGCTGAAACGTTAAAAACCTACTTCTGTATAAATCTGTATATATCTTGAGTTAATCGGCTCAAAAAAAACAATAAATATCAAAATAACAAAGTAACTGACAAATCTTAATCAGTAATTAGACTCACGGATTTTATACCATAAATTATACTAATCAAGTTGGCAGCTAGAACAATAAGCCAGATTAAAAGTCTGTTTGTTTTCTGTATTGTTCATTAGTATAACACTAAAAGAAAACTCAGCTATTCGTTCGTTAAATACCCTACATCATCTCCCTAGGTCATCTCGAACACTTACTTACCTACATAGTTTGCAACAAGTGCCTCTTCCATTATAATACCCAATTAATAAAAAAGTTGTAGTTCCACTTAGATATTTATTATGCAAATATATAAAGATATATAGCGCATATATAGTTCATGTAGTTGTCTATATTTATGGGATATTTGCTTTGCATGAATGTAATTAACATTTAGAATTTTATAATTACGATATTTGCAGTTCTTGATTTATTTATCATGTTTCAACATGCAAACTAAAAATAAAGAAATTCGTCCGATATCCAAATACAAATTAATTAGATATATGTATTAAATGTTTCTAATCGATATAATTTTGGGAACTTAGAATAGCAAAAAAAATATATGTATATTAAAAAATAAAAAAAAACAACTTAAATATGCATATCACAGGATTAATTTATAATAATTTGAAATAGTAATTTTGTTGTTGCACATTTTAATTTATGTATGAACAAAGAAAGAAAAAAACCATTAGAAAAAATCATACATAATGAGGTTTACTTGGCCTAGTTAGTTATGATGTTCACATAATCACTTTCATTTATATTTCAATTATTTCATGAAACCTAAAAACAAAGAGTTTTCGCATACTATTTTATCCTTTGGGAGCAAAAGCAGGTATAGATTATACATACATTTATACTACACTCATATCATATCCCCTATGGGCAAATAGTTATACATTTAAATTGATTACAATTCAATTTACGACTTGATGCATATTTAATTAAGCTTAAGTCTATTATAAAAAAAATAATAATAATAATTCACGACGCCTTCAAGTGTGAAATCGTTTTCAGTTATTTATGATCTCATTTATAATTATGATGATTATTAATGCGAATAGATATCTAGATAGATGGTATATGGACTATATGACTATATGAAATTGTTTACTTTGGGCTTTTTGCTTTCTTTCAATTGCATTTTGTTTTTCCGATTTTCTGATCCGACTTAAGCTTAAGTTAAGTAAAAAAAAGGAGAGAGAGATAGTGTGATGGGTAGCAGGGGGTTTAATAAAAATCTAAATCAGTCACTAGCATCGCTGGCGAAAACCGCATCCTTGGGCATTGAGTTCATATCTGGCAGAGACTCGGCGTAACCAGTACTCCTGTCATGGATCAGCATCGAGAGCGTCTCCAAACTGCGACGCACCTGTTTCGTATAAGATAAGAGCGAAAGAAAGGAAATGAATGGTTTAGTAATTATTTTTATTATTTTTCTTTCAATGTATTTTCGATTGTTATCGATAGTATCTCATTTTTATGGGCTGTTTATGGTTCTTCAAATGTGCTATAAACCAAAACAAATATACGATTACCGCCAGCCAGCTGGCAGGAAAGTCTACCCGGCCAACACTTGATAAGATTATGCAAAACGTTTAACGCACTGATAAAATTATAGCCTATTCATTGGCCAGTCTGATTATCTAATTGATTGCTCCAAGCAGCTGTGCCAGCAAAACTCAAAACAATATTTTTAAAGCAATAGCAAAAACTGCCGCGACAATGGGAAAGAAAACTTATCATTTCATTTTTTGACTCTCTTCACTCTCTTTGTCTTGATGGCCATAACTTTCCCATCCGTTAGTTAGCCGGCTCAACTATTCAAGTGTGTCTAACAACTTAATATTGAGCTCTCTCCACTCTGTCTGATTGATCCTCTTTAGTAGTTAATACTCTCCACACTCTACTCACTCACTCTCACAGCATATTTATGGAAGAGCCTTCTCTCACCTTGGATATTTGTTCCAGATTCTTGGCTAAAATATATTGAGCTTCAGCTGTGGTTTTCTCCTGCAGCTTCTTCTGCCAGTGCAGCGCCTCCGCAAAGATGTCGTCATCGACACCTCCTCGCTAAACAAATGAGATATATATATATATATAGTGAGAACATGGAAATGCTTGCTGAGAGAGAGATCCTTACCGAGTTGAAATCGACTGGCATATTGTAGAGGCTGGACTTGGCCTCAATGTCGAGGACGCGATAGAGCAAGAAGACAGAGAATAGGGCCAGCATAACGGCCAATGTGATGCCCAAATAGAGTACCTGCAGCTCCGTCAGCGCCGGTCCACCCATGGGTAGATGTGTGCGGGCCGATGCTGCGATTATCCTCCAACGGGAGCGCGGTGGATTCTCAGCATTATTTTCATTAGCAGCAGCAGCAGCGGCAGCATCTAATCCTGCAGCGTTGCCAGTGTTAATTGGAGTAGTTGGCACAGCCACAGAAACACCCGTGCCCAAAACAGTAATGGGCGATGACGAACTGGATGCGCCCGAGCTGCCCATCACGGAAGGCAATGCGGATGTGAAGATTTGCCTGCTGCCAGCGCCGGGTGAACTAAGCTGATATAAATGGTGTGGCATTGAGTCCTTGTAGTGGACAACGGGTGGCGCAGAGCTGCGTATATTTATCGGACCATCAATATCATCATTCAGCAAACTCTTTGACTGCATTTCTACAATGGAAGAGAAAGATTGGTTAGTTTAATTGGCCCTGGAATAACTTTGGAGTAGCAAAAAGACAGCCAAGGCGAGAGCCACAATTGGAATATGCCCATGAGTTAATTAAAATAGGGTATATCTAGTCGGTCATTGCCAGAGAGAGTGATCACTTACCGGGATGCCTGTCGCTGCCTGCACGCTGTCGCAGCAATGCCTGCTGCTCATGGACTGCTGCTGCTGCTGCTGGATCATGGAGCTGGGGCGGACTCTCGTTGCCGCTGATGGAGCAGCTGCTCTCGTCATCGATCAGATACTCCTCAGCCAGCGGCTTGGGCAGCAGTATCTCTGCACCATGATTCAAATGGGGGCAAACTGCGCACATCAAGCGGAACGCCGCCTCTCGACTGATGAAGCTGCCAAAGACATGACGCTCATCGGCTGTGGCCACGCCCACCGCATTCGGTATTATTTTGGCCGTTTTCTCCTTCGAGATCCTTGTCACCGACGACGTGGGAAGGACAACCTATTTGTAATTACCATATTGTCAGACTTTATATGCGATTATCGTGCAACAAACTCACCTTGGTCACATAGCCAAAGACATTGGAATAGAAAGCAAAATGCTGATCCGTTATATAGAGATGACCCTGCAGCGGAATGTCGCCAACCAATGCGCACGAGAAGTCTGCAAAGAGTTCAAACCAAATGTAAATGCAACGCATACTTGCAACTTATCTAAATAAAATTATATTTAATTTATCAAATATAATGCAATAGATAATTATATATAATAGAACAAGAAGATTGTTCACAGTGGAGTGGAGTGCTAGTGCTTACAATTGATGAGGTGCTCATCGTTGGAGACCTGCGAGAAGTGGCGACGGAATTTCTTCACGCGCGAACTGGACACCTCCTTGCGTTTCTTCTCCTTCTCGGGCGGCGTTGCGACAACTGAACCGACGCCGTTCGCTATTGAATATATTGCTGCTCCGGTGACAGCAGCGGTAGCCGATGTTAATGTTGACGTTGAGATCCCTGCCACCGACGAGGCCTGCTGCAGCTCGTGTTGCTTTGCCGTGTTGTTGCCGCCTTTGACCTGACCCTGGCTTTGGCTGCTCTTCGGACTGGAACTGGGACTGCTGGCGAGGTCCTGAGCGCTGCCGCTCGACTGCAGCGGACCAATGTAGCTGATGTAGCTCTGCGGCAAGGAACTGCAAGTGATATAGTCGTCGAAGAAGACGAAGTCATTGATTAAAGACATGAATGGACAAATAAGTCGGAACGGCAAAGCTTCAAGATTATATAACCTTGCAGATCAGATCTGAATTTCATAATAATAATAATAGTTTATAATAATTTATATAATTGAGAAAACGACGAACGATTGTTATGAGTTATGAGCCGAGTATATCTGTATCACAATATAACGACTCGACTATTTATGCTGATCAAGAATGTATATCATCTACTTTGTAAGGGTATTCAACACAAAAACTCTATTTTATATTTAAATAAATTATGATTTTCTGGCTCTTTGCAAGGAATGGCAAAATGCATAAATAATTCGTATATCAAAAGAACATCAGTGATATATATATATATATATATATATATATATGTGACTGAATGCGAATTGCATCGCAATGTTTAGTTCACAGTTGAATTTATCTCAGGCAGACACCTTAAAATGTGATAGCTTTATCATCTTAAAGATTACAATTCAGACCATGGCCACAGACTTATCGAAATGAACTCAACTAAGTTGAACGGGAAGTTGAGATATTTATAATAATATTGATAACAATAATAATAATAATAATAGGAATAGTAATAATAAATGCAGAGCATACAGTTTGGTTAATAGGCCACTTGTGCGTGTGGCCATAAAAACGAATGCGATACGAACAGTTTGTCAGGTGCCAGGTGTTAGCCACCGCCTGACTAAAAAAAAAAAAACATCATGGCTAATAAACAAATTTGTACATTTACCGATAAGATTTGTATTCCCAGCGCATTATGATAATGATAATCGAAACAAGTTCCGATATCTATGCTTGTATACAAAACTGGAACATGAGCCAAACTAAACCATGTATTTTTATGGGTTCGGCTTTAAGTTGGACTATTCCGTTCACAGTCAGTAACAGACTTGAAACAAAAGAATAAAAATAATAATGCGAAAGACGGATTAATAGAACAATTAGAAGTCAGTCAGTCAGTCAGAAGTTGCGGGTCTGCCAAAGATAGCGGATCTTTCTTGTTATACCCTGAACCCATTGAAAATGGGTAAAAAGTGTACAATGAATTTGTAGTCTTATCCGATCTTGATGAAATTTGGGCAGTTGTCAATGCACGTTATATATCAATTAGAAGCCTCTGTCTTTAAGATTGTGGCTTTCGTTGCTATCAGAAAATAATATGTATCGATATTCGCGAAACGGAGGCAGTTATCAATGAAATGAAATATTCTAAAATAAATAAAAGATAGCTTATATTTGAAATCTCAAGGCCTTATAGTCTCTGAGATACACGTATTCATACAAACGGACAGACGGACATGGCTATATCGATTCGTCTATTGAGTTAGAATATACATCTTTGAGGTAGGAGAGGAGTGGCATCCTTCATCGACGTCTGGCGCAAGCCGATGATTTCTGTTTGGGCTTGTTTTTGTCTTTTTGTCTTTAAGAAATCTGAGCACTTTCACTTCTGCTTACATTTGGGTGTGCAAATTTTTGTAAGTTGTAAGGGAAACTTGGCAATAAGAGTGGAATATATTTAACAGCTGCTGCGTGGATGGGTTCAGGGTATATCGTAATCGATCTCATTCGACTCACACGACCGTTCTTACATGTTTATATATATATATAGAGTGTTATTAAACTGATAAACTTAAATACATTGATATATTGACAGTGCGTATCGGGACACATCGGATCGATTTATGATTGAAGCTTACATGGGGCATTGTAAAGATTTACGTTGGAATCTATATCTCCCTCACTCCCTCCAACCACGCTGTCTCGTATCGGAGTGATCTAATGTTATATTATCTTCCACATTCATAGAATTTTTAATGATAAGCATTCGTGTGCCGAGTTTATATTTGCTCTTCTTGTTGTAATTTTCTTCTTTTTTTTATCTATACCACGAACCGAGGTGTGAATCAACCAAAGCCTCAACGCAGCAGCCTAGCTCATTAAGGTGAGCAACCTACGTGTTTCCATTTATGTATCTGCAGATGTAATGAGTGTCAGGTAAAACTCGAAGCCATCTGTTTGTTTCATATCTTATCGATGCTTAAGCCAACGAGGGGTCACCTCACAGTTCTTTGGCTTGGTTGGTCTATGGAGTCTTTCAGCAACTGTTAAACTGTTTTTAACTTTAACTAACCGTTGCGTCATCTTCCAGCCAAAGTTGTGTTGTCACTGTTTAACTATCTACGTGTCTATTTATTTTTTTTTGTAGCCAGTCAAAAGTTCGCCAGGTGACAATGGGTTGTCGGGAGGGGTGATGTCAAAAGTGCTGCTTAAAAGCGCTTGTGAAATATGCTCGTACTCTTGAGAAATAATCACAAAAGCTATAAAATATAGCGTTTATAGAAGTATACGTGTACTATTCATGAACCGATCTCAAAGTACAACTTTCTGATATTGGAACTTTTACGATATGCAGTGTACTAATTATAAATTGTATATTTGATTACAATATTTTAAGAGATATTTCTCCAGTCTATCGTTTTTTATGTTTATGGATCTCTGTTATAATTTCTATGCAGAAATTTAGTTTGTGACGGGCATAATAAGGGATAAATACTTCAGTAGCTTTTGTTATGCAAAATTGAAAATGTTAACATATTTATCACTTAGCTTAAGGCAGTTGGGATGAACGATTAAATGGTCCAGTTTTGCCAAACGCTTTAAAAACGAGTTTTAGCAATAACAACAAGTCTCCCACATTTGTGCATTAGAAACTTTCTAACTCTGCCAGTTCTTAGTTTTTATACGAGAACACTTAGTTATATATGATGTATGAAATGGTAAGAAAGCCTTTCTTTCTACTTTTACCAAAGTTCAATTTTGCAGGCTTTTCACTGAGGATGTAGTTGAGTAGATATTGAGCAAAGAGTGCCGCGAATTCGCTTCAGTTTCGGTTTATTGTTTGTAGACTTACGGCGTGGAATTGTAGTGTTCTTTACGCTTGGCATTCGCCTTGAGACGATCGACGCCATCTTGCGTGCGACTCTTCTTCAGAGTGCGCTCTCGCATGCTGCTGCTTGCAGAGCTGTTATTGTTGTTGTTATTGCTGCTGCTGCTCGATTCGATGAGCGACATGCGCTTGATGGTGCGCGCCACACTGCGTGCTCCGCCGACGACAGCATCGCCGGCCGCATGGACAAAACTGCGATCGCGTGTGCCATTTGGTGTCTGACGTGTGCTGGTGTTCTTGCGGCGTCTGACGACCGGTGGATGTGTGGTGTTAATAAAATCTTGGCTCTCATTAAAAGGATTCTCATTGTTGCTGCTATTATTATTATTGTTGCTGTTGTTGTTGTCATCAACCGTGGGAGTTTCGGGTGATTCACTTGACACTTTGCTGCGTATTGGAATTTCAGTCGATGTCTCAGCATCGATGGGCAGCACATCTTGCTCAAAGGTGACGCTGAGACGGTCACAGCTGCCCGGCGTATTATCCGAGCTTTGCATTTCTTGTTAGTTTGTTAGGCACAATAAAAATATTTTTAAAAAAAACTGCTAACTGTTGCACACGCAATGCAAAATACACAAACTAAAACTAAATGCTGCACCAATGATGGAAAAAAGTGCTTGCAAATGGCAGCTTTTCAACACTGAAACTGGATAACCGGTAACGGTGCTTATTTCATCATCAATTGCCGTTCGCCGGTGGTCGTGTGCGTGCGTCACCAGCGTCTCACGTTTACTGAAGCGCGCCAACTGTTATTGGTCTCTTTATTGTCAATACCGAAGCGTCGACGCAGACGTTAGCAGCGGCAGTATCAGCGATGTTCACCGATTGCTTACACTACGCTGCTGCATTCTACGGGAGAGCAACAAAAGCGACGAAGATAAGCAGAAAGCAGCTGATTAACTGACTTTATACCCTCGCCTTATTGTAACTTTATTAGATTAACATTTATAGGCAATAGTATAAATAGTAGTAATGAGTATAAAAGTAATACCCTATTATACAATAGCATATTTTACAGGGTATTCCATGTACATGTCACTGTGATTTGTTTTGCTTTTTATTTTCAGTCTATTCTTCGTTGTTGTTTTGTTTTTCGTTACTTTTACGATTGCAGACGCCTTAAGATAGCACTTAGTTCTAACGCAATTAGTTAATTGTTAATTTTTGTATTTTGTTCGCAGTTTGTGGTTTCCACTTTATGCTTTGTTTTTTTGTTTTTTGTTTTTGTTTCATATACGCGAAAGAAGTGTCAATTAATTATTTAATTAACTGATATCATTCACTGTGGGCAGATAATGCATATTATGCATACATAGCAAAGCAGTGTGTGAGAAATTAATGCGAGAGAGAGAGAGAGCGAGGAAGAGAGAACGATAGGGAGAGAGAGAGAGAGAGAGCTGAAGCATTTTGTCTTTTTGCATTATCAATGGAATTTGTTATTTCAAACATTGTAGATAGCAAAATAAATAATACTGTCTGTGTCTGTGTCTGTGTCACAACCTCGGCAGGGTGTTAGATATATTTGAAATGGCAATAGTTTTTGGCTGGGGTTGCTTGTGCGTCGCATGATTCATCAATGCGTCCAGTGAGTCCTCAGTAAAATATCGTAAATAGATTAAACCATCATGTGTATGACATTTAATTGTTTATACAACTCGCAGCCTGCTCAAGTGGCCCTGAGTCATCCCAGACATAATCTGGGCGGGTGCAGGGGTGGGCACAGCAGTGTGTGGCACGAGCAACCCTGTTCAATTTTTATTGCACTGTATTGGAGGCCTTCATAACCTCTCCCCCCGGGGTGAAAGCATGTGAGCCATGAATCATGTGGCTTTATCAAAAGTCGAGCGAAGAACAACAGGAATGCAATTGAGCTCGAGTGGAATTCAAACATAAATAATACACACTTGGAGGAAAAATCAACATGAATTTAACATATTTACCATACTCTTCGGTAACACATCTTATTATTCAGAAAGTATATTTTTTAAGAAGCCAGCGACATTCTTTCCTTAATTTCAAGCAAGTCACATTTCTCTAAGATTTGGAAATTTTCCGGGTTTTTTTTTTGTTGCTTATATTATTAATAATTCTATTTTAAAGCGTATAAATTCATTTAATTTAAGAAATACAAATTTCATTACTTGTTTCTAAACTTGAGAAAGGAATTTTCCTTGATTTTTTCAAATGCATTTCTTAATAATAGAAATTATTTCTAGGAAAATTAACACCTTTGGGATGCTTGACTTAGGGCAAGGCAAGCCAGTCTAATTTTTAGAAATTATTTCTATAAAAAAAAAACGCAAATTTTCTAAGTCAGGTCGTTTTTTGCTGAGTGTACGATTATATAAACATTAGCCGACTTGTGTGTTTGCCACACGTGCCATTTCATGTTGTTGCTGCTCGATAAAAGCATTTTTGAGCTGTGAGAAACTAGCGATTGAATGAGTGAGTTTCCATTCGAATGTGTCATTTGACGGTTCAATCAACTATCTGATCTGAGTGATAAGCAAGCTGTTAACACTCAGCTAAACCAAATAACATAGTAATGAGTAACCAACTCCGACTTGGACAGTCACAAATGATTCATAATGCCGACGAGAGTTGGCACAGTTTTTATACTATCAACTACTTATCAATTAATAGTAGCATATTCATGATGAGTTCAACCAATTCATTGTATTAACTAACGAGTAAGTCGTAGTAGTGAATGCTCTAATGGAAATTAGCAACTGAGAGTAATAATTTAGTGCGTGTTGAGGGTTAAACAATTTTTTAATTTCAAGTGTATCTTTGCTGTCTATTAAAAGAATGCAATCCAATGCAAAGCGACGTTACGCGTTGAAGTACTTTCGGTGAAATGTACTCTTCAAGAAAGCAATTGACTGGTTTGCCTGTGTGCGTTTTGATAACGCTGCTGCTGCAGCTGCCAGTGATAGTGCCAGGTAATCTATGTTGTTCAATAAAATCGATCTATTGATGTATTCTGCGAAACAATTCGTCTTTATCATTTATAATACCGCATGACTACACAGTCACGCCCCCTAATACAAACCCTATGACTGCCTACCTGCCAGACAGCCAGCCTGTTTGAGTAGCAGCAGACAAGCAAAAAAAAAAAAAGAAAAGAAAATAGAAATAGTAACACGCGAATGGCTTATTGATAAGCTGCTCGAGCAACAGGTGGCCAACACAGGCAGTGGCCAGCTGCCGCTAACTGCACCTCAGCCTGTTGCCTATCTTATCGATACCAATTGTTGGGGCAATTACACCAACACACACCAACACACACGAACACACACCAATACACCAACACACACAGCGCAATTGGCCTGACTATTGCTACTCACCTGTGTTGTGGGCCAAATGTCTCTGGCAGGGATAACTGTATTATGCTATATTGCTGACGTCTCAATTGTAGCTCTTGTTGTTGTTGCAGCTGCCGTTGCTGTTGTTCGTTTAGTGCTGTTGTTGTTGTTGTTGTTGCTGTTGTTGCTGGAGCTGGAGTTGGAGTTGGAGATGTTGCCGACAATTGTGGTGGTGCCATGGAAGTTGTTGCACGCTCATCGGCGCCAATATTGCTATTGTTGTTGCAAAGCACACTGCTTGTCGATCTGCAGAAACAAACCACAGCCAAAAACAGTCGGCGAACGGGGCGCATGAGTAATTTTGTGCGGTTTAAAGCAGCGAACAAAAAAAAACTGTTGCATGCATTTAGGCGGTACGCAAAAAATAAGAATCGCTCACAACTCAACTATTCAGCGACAAGAAATATACGGCATACCTATGTGTATATAAATCTATATATATATATATATATATATGTGTGAGTGTGTGTCTGTGTGTGTATATTTGTGTGCGTGTGTGTAAGTTGGTCGTAGAGTTAAATACATATCTATGTGTACAACTTACAGCTAAGTAAATAAATCTATTGGAGGTGAAAAACAAAAATTCAATTCAAGAATTTATATATTTAAAATGGAAAATCTTAAGCTGGCATCATTCTAAAAGATAGATTGATTGCAAAGAAGAACAAAACTACAAACTTTATTTAAATTTGTGTGTTCTATAAAAGGATTAAAAGCCGTTTATAAAAACTGTTCTTGGTATTTTTGATAATCTGTTAAGTTTTTTCTACTTGAATCAAGTAGAGTATGTATGTATGTATAGGGTATAGCTTGCTTTCTATTTTACTCTATTTAGATATACCATGTGCAGTTCACAGTAGTTTCATGACAGTTTATTTACATTTCAATTACTCGTTCGGTTCAAAGATATGATTGCCGGATATCGGATTACTTAAGCGACAATAATTGAGACGACCTTCTATCTAATATATATTTACTCTATATTTATGTATGACAACTTTGTGCATTTTCATCTAGATTATTACCGGAATTCGACGTATTAATATTTCAAACCGCACGCAAACTAATTAAGGCAGCGCTAGTTTATTAATTGACCAATTTCTAACATACATGTAAATATATATAGAATATATAGTATAGAATGGAATATCGAATATATAATGTGTGTATGTTTTTGGTAAACAGACAGAACTTGTCTTTGGCATTGCTCAACTGTCTTTAAGATCTCAGCTATTGCAGCTATATTTGACACACTTTAAATACTATTTTGGTATATGACTAGCCTCTGTAAAAGTTCATTATTTTTAGACAGAAAAATAATGCTTAGCTATTTGGCATTCAGATTTATTTCAGAAAAAGAGAAAATAAAACCTTGTTTTCTTTTGACCTTCCAAAATAAGTTCAACTGGAGGTTAAGAAAAACATCTTGAGTTGTTATTCAAAATTTGGCAATCCTCAGTAAGTTGTAAGTTTTGGTAACCCTTAAAGTGATTTGAAATTAAAGACAAAACAACTCTGACAACTGAACTAGATAAAAGAATAAAAAGTCTTTGGATTTTGCGTCAAACTGTTGAGCTTTATTTCGATAGCAGTTGCTTCTAAGATAAATTGGAATTCATTTTAAAATTTCATTTTGAAAACGTGCTTTTTTTTGTGTATTTTGCAACAAGACGAAACTAACGATCTAAATTATTAATTGAAAAGTGGGAAACTAAACATCGAAATTGTTAATTGAAATTGAGAGAACTGAAGTGAAACAGTCAAAGAAATGCCGAAACATTCTGGTAGCTTGAAGAAGACATCGCTCAGCTCGATTGAGCAATACGAGCTGAGCCAATGGCTAAAGGATAATCGCATCAATGCATCCAATCTGAGGCGTTCTTTTACGGACGTCCATCCGCTGGCACGCCTAATGCTGCGTCACTTTCCGAGACTGATCGATCTCAACTACTATCCGCCGCGGAACAGTGTGCAGAACAAGTTGTGCAATTGGGAGTCCTTCAACAAGCGGGTGCTGGCCCGTCTCAATCTGCATCTGACACGCGAACAGATGGTACGGGTGGCACGCAGTGTGCCCGGATCCGTCGATTTGCTGCTGTACAGCGTGATGCGTATCCAAAAGATGGCGGAGCGGCGAGCGCAGGCTGCGCAAGACTCTAGCGCCGAGCAGGACGACGACGACGAAGCGTCCAAGCCGGGATCCGAGTCGCAACCGGTGAGCAAGACTCCGGCTAAGGCAATGGATTCCGTTGTAGGCAATAGCGTCGCCAGACCAAAGGACAAAACACTAAAGATGAAACGCACAGAGGCTGCAGGCCACAACAAGAGGCAGCGAGGTAGCAAGGATCTACAATTGACCTGGCAAAGAGGTGAACAACAATAGCCCAATAACAAAAAGAGAAAACAAAAAAGAAAACAAAGGAAAGGAAAACTTCCTTGTGCAGCATTGAAAAGACGCTAAAAGCTGTATGCAACAGCAGGTGGCAGTCGATCAAATATCTTGCCACTGCTAACTGGTTGCCCTCAATTGAATAAAATAAAAATCATGTTGTATCTGTAGGACTGCTCTGACTTCCACAACTCTGCTGCGTTTTCCACTGAGTTGTGCATAAATTTTTGTTGAAAAACTACATTATTGAAAAGCTTAATAAAATTGATCTAGTTTATTAAATTGTCGTTTATAATTCGAGAACAGCTTAGGCCCAAATCAAATGCATGTAAACTATTGAGAAAGCTCAGCTTTAGCTTGGCCTGCTGGGGAAATAATCAAAAATAAGATTCTGAGGATTAAAGATTTAACTAGATAGATTCCCGAGACATTTTCGAGTGTCGTACGTAATACTATCATTAACAAGAATGCTTTTCGAGAAAATGCTGACTGTTTTTCGAATAGAAACTGTTTCTGGCAATATGAAATTGACACATTAATGATCAGAGCAGAGCAGACTCTGAGACTGACTTCAGTTGCTGACAAACATTCCGAGCACCAATATAAGCACCCAGCTCGAGAGTGTGTCTATACACCACATATATATATATGTATATATATATCATTTGTCATATATATATACATGTACAGCAGTACCGATATCGAGTGCCCGATTGATATGGTAGTGCGCAGAAATAGAATGCACACCATAAGCAGCAAGAGTCTGAGCAACGAGGAGATTGCCGAGGTGCACAAGTGGCTGCAACAGAATGAGTTTAATGCATCGCGAATTCGACGCGAATTCTCCGATGTGCTGCCGTTGGCGGAGATGATGAAGCGGGATTATCCGCGTCTCGTCGATCTCAACAACTTTCCGAAGCGCAGCAGTGTACAGCGTAAGGTGGCCAATTGGGAGGCCTTCAACTACAAGGTGCTCTCCAAGTTCAATCTACAAATGAATCCCGAGTTCATATTGCTGCTCGCGACGGGTGCACATGGCGCCGCCGAGGTCTTACTTAGCGAGATAATGCGCGTGAAGAAGCGTCAACGTGTGGTGGAGTCACGCAATGCGATCCTTGCCCAGGAACAGATCTGGGAGGAGAACGATGAGGTCAAGACGGTGATCGTTAACAAACAGGTGGGCGACGGCATCGTTCAGGTGCCACAGAAAATGATACTCTATTCGCTCTACGAGAATATGGCCCGTGACAATCAAGCCAAGGATTTGATAATTGAAACGAACCGCAAGCGACTCGCCCACATGGAGAACATCATCAAGGTGAAGACCGAGCGCATCGACGAGCTTCTCATCCAAGTGGGCAAGTCACCCACCAATAAGCCACAAGTCAGTCCTCGGTCCAGCTTCACTTCACGTCTCGCCTCCACATCACTGCTCAGCTACGAGGCTCTGGGATGCACACGTAAACGCCATCCGAATACGCCCGTCTCCTCCGACTAGCCAGCCGGATGGAGGAGACAAAAGGCAGGGAAAGAGAGAGAGAGAAGCACACTAACAGAGTGAAAAAGAAAGAGGAGGGAAATGGTACTGCGTTTGGATTTGGAGTTTATCTATTATATATTTTTTTAATTATAGCAGATACAGATACAGAGAGAGAGAGAGAGATAGAGAGTGAGAGAGTGAGAGAGAGAGAGAGAGAGAGAGAGAGAGAGAGAGAGAGAGGGAAATCAAAACAATTCACATTCAAGTTGCATTCCCGTAGGTAAGCACTTCCATTGCATTGCAATTACAATTCCAAATAGTCGTAAAACGTAATTTGCATTTATTAAATGTTAGTCAGAAACCAAATTGTACCTGAATCAAATAAATTGCTAGTTTCAGTTGTAATTGTTTTCCTATAATTTGTTATAAGACTTTACTAGCAATAAATATATAATATGGCTCTAAAAATTGTTTTATATCTCTCACTCATTTCGCTAATGGATATTAATACTACAAAATATAGTTGTGGGTTTCATATTATAAAGTTATAATTCCATTATTTTGGGAAACCCATTGTTATCTATTCTTATACTAGATTATCTGTTGTTTCTATAGGACATCTCTTCGATCAATCAACCAATCAGTCAAAAGATTTTTTCTTATATTGAAAAAAAAAATCGATTTTCCTACCAAGAATTTCTGACCAAACTCATTTTCTTGAAATCTCAAATTTCAAGTTCAAGCGTTCCATTTCTCATTCGTTTAAGAAACTTTGTGCATTGTAACATTAACTAAAGGACAATGATTCGTACCTGGCCTTGAGTAAAATCACCTTTTTCGCCCGATTTCGTCTCTACTTCCGACGAATCCTGGCTGCTGAGATGGCTAACGTTGCTCGGATGAGTTGCAGAGTCGAGCATTAAATAAAACAACAAAATAATCCGTGCAATTGGTGGTTGCCTGCGAGTATCTTGCAGATACAAAACAACAACAATAAGCAGCCAAGTTGGATGTGCGTCAAATTCGCTGCTTGATAGCTTAATTAAATTAAGTTTTATGGACTTGTTTGTGGATGTGTTTGTCTGTTTGTTTGTGCGAACAGGCACGACTAACTAAGTACTGTATATATATATATATATATATATATATATATGTATATGCGCAAATGAGCGTTAAACGCTTTGATAAGCATTAAAATACACACAAACACAAACACACGAGAAATATATATGTATTTATGGGCGATAAAAAACACAATTCAGCGTGTCAGGTCAGTCGCATGCCTCCGCCTTATACCATGAGTCTTATAGTATTACATGTGCGAATTTGATACAGTCGACAACGAATGGATTCACATGCGATTCGTGTGTATTCGAATCGAATATTCGCCATTTACTTGGCTAAGCTGGCAATTGACTTTTGCTTACCATGGCACAAGAACAAGAACACGACGCTAACTGTTTGCCTGAAAACGTCGACGCATCAAGTTTATACACCTATATATAAATATATACATATATATATATACACATATATATGTATGTTTGCTCAGCCCAATGCCAGAGTTGAAGGAGGCACACACACACTTGGCCTACACAGTTCAGTTCAGCACCTTTTAAATGCTATGCATATTAAATTTCAGCATTGTGTTTCAAATAGTAACAGAAATGTGCCACTGAAACCACATTTGAACCGGTTCACAAAATATGAAGTATGCTTATTCCACTTTCGGCAAGAATAGAAGCCTAATGTATGATGTATATACACATTCCTGCAGGAATTTCCAAATCAAATCCAAGTACTTGACATAGGTAGCTTAAGAAGCGTCCTGAACCAGTTTTGAACCGGTTCAAAAAATATTAAATATGTTTGATCTATATGTAAGAAACTAAATAAGAGATATATGAATATATATATGATGAAATGAAAATTAGATTTTTATAATTATTTGCTCTGAATCGGTTCAAAAAATATTAAATATGTACGCGTTCTCTATCTAAATGTTTTTAGATGGTGATTAAAAACTGTTAAGTGATGCGGTAATTTTAGATTGGCCTCGCATATCAAATTTCAGCAGGATTGCTCAAATAGCTACAAAGATATGACGCTAAACCGCTCGTGAACCGCTTCATAAAACCAACAAATATGATTATCTAAAAGTTCCGAGTGCTAAGAAGTTTTCTGAACCGCAAGGAACCACAGCAAGAACAGTGCAAACTTAATACGTTTTTTTTTCTTTTTTATTGTTTTTTTTTTTTTTTTTTTTTGGAGTAACCACGCCCAACCACGTTGGGCAGCCACAGCTGTGGTTCTCATGGTTTCCCGTGGCCCTGTCCCTGAATTTGTTTGGCGAATTGCATTCTCGCTTAACTGGGGAGGGCGACAGAGAGAGAGAGAACAGAGAGGAGCAGGGCAGAGGGTAGTGCGGTATCGATTTCTAGAGACTGGCTTTGGCCACTGAGTGGCTTATGCAACACGAATTGGCCATTTCAGTATCATTTATCAGACGACCACTTGTGCACATAAGGGTACGTACACTCGAAAGACATTAAAGAGTGCAACCCACACACATTAAGTGGATAGTGTATAGTATATAGAATAGAAGATATAGTTGATAGCTTGTGGAAAATGCATATAGGATATTTTATCATTGATGACAATGCGTTATTTGTTGAGCCAAGGCTAAATGGTTTCTTTCAGTGTCATGCCTATCAGAAACAGAAACAGAAATTGAATTGCATTGCTTGAGCTGCGCGCAAGGTCAAAGTTTATTAACCCATTGTTTGTGTGTGGCAAGCGGCATGTGGCATGAGCAATCGCCTGTGTGTGTGCGTGTGTGTGTGCGGGGGCATGCAACGCAAAATGCAAAAAGCATTTCAGGCGACGTCTGCCACTGCTTCCGTCTCCCCCACTCCACCGCCCTTAAAGGCACAGGCGACAGGTCAGCATAAAAATTGCATGCCTCTCGGCAATAAGCGTGGAACGCAGCTGGAGTGGGGGGGAATTGTCGACACGCAACTAATTAAATGGCGACAACATTGTCTCAGGCAGACACCCCCTCCTCCTCCTCCAACCCCCTTCCTCTTCCCCTCTGCCACTCACTCGCCCCATGATTCACCCCCTGCCGAGCGAGAAGAGAGCAAAAGAAAGAAAATAACACTTGGCAATCGCGCGATTTGTATTCCAACGGAAATTGTGCTACTAAATTATTGTAACCACAGTGGACCCCCAACCACCGCACCCTTCTCACCTTCCCCCTAGCACCCCCCATGCTCATTTATTAATTATGCAATTTACACATGAAATAAACAGTTTAGTAGTCAAATGCTTTTGCCGTTTTTAATTGACAAAACAGTTTTCGGAATTTTGCACAGTTTACAAATAGAAAACATCAAATGCTGTGCCAAAAAAAAAAAAAAACGAAAAAAACAAAAACAAAACAACAAAAAAAGCAAACACACACAAAATAGAAAAATAGAAAATTCTCGAGCAAATGGAAATGTACGCCAAAAAAAAAGTATTCATTTGACGTCGCTCGTAAATATTACGGAAAAAATCTGTTGAGAAATTCTATGAACACTAACCCCCGCAAAGCTACAGCAAAAAAATAGAACAGCGTCTAAATTTCAGAAGAATTACAACTTGAATTTATGGACGCCCAGAAAGGAATACGAAACGAGAAGTTCTGCGATCATTCACAATTTATAAAGTTGACTAAAATATCAGCATATTGCGTATGAAAATTTTTAACAAACAATTTTGGTTTTTCCCAAACAGTATTTGTGATTCATATTAATGTATCTATATATATATCAGATATATATACCGTACACGTGTATCAATGACAATGCAATAATATAATGGTTATTCCCTAACAGGTTAGCGGTTGTACATATGGCAAAGTCATATAACAAGAAGCTAGTTTTCGGGTTCTATTTGAGTGTGCCTGGTCAACGGATACCCTATGCCAAAGTGTCTGGTTGGGTCTTTTGTTAATCTATCAACAGTTGATTATCTTCAATTAATTTGGTGTCTGGCCGTAAAGTGATTTTAAATATAGAATGACAGGCCTGATTAGGATTATATACATGCAACTGATAAGCTTGCGATAAAAAACATTTGGTCACAAGCATGTTAGCCCCTAGCACACAGTCACAACCTTTCTGACGTAGGGTATCAAATTGCTTGTACATATTTAATATGGCAAAGTCATTAAATTGGTATTAAAAAAGAAGCTTATCAATCATAAAACACTCTGATTATCCAGTTGGATACAGCTGATCGAACTTGTGACAGGGAAAATAAAATTTGCAAAACAAACAAAAATATATATTTATATACATATAAACCATATTTTGAACTTTACACAGCTATTAAAATGTCAAAACTGAACCGATTTGCATAAGCACTGCATTTAAATGGGGAAACACGATTTTTGCTTGGAATCCATTTGGAAATTGTGTCTGGCCAAATACAATGTTGGTAATAGCAATGCTTTATTGCTGACAATCAGGCTGTTTTGGCTGGTTTGGAAATACAGTTTATTTTCGAATCGATCGAATTTGATATTTCTACCGATGACTTGCAAATTTCTATCCCTAAGTAAATAAATAAATAATTAAATGTACATGTGGGGAATACATTTTTCTATGTTTAATAATTCATCATATATCTTTCAAACACAACGAATAGCAAACAAAACAAGAATGATGGGCTTTGTTGGACACACCGATGATTGCATACCCTTCCAGAACCAAATTCAAATCGTCCCGTCTAAGAAATATTTGTATTTTCAGAAAAAGCTATTGTTTCAAATGAATAACTTAAAAAAATGTTCATTTGATGAACACTATACCAAGTATCATCAAGATAGATTAACTATTCAAGGCAGATGGTCGACTCGACTAGTGATGATGATCAAGAATTTATGTACTTTATGGGATGGGAGGTGTCTTCTTTAAAGCGTTTCACAAAACTTATAATAATACCTTTTACAAGCGTATAAAAAAGATACAAGTTAAAGGCAAAATTATTAGCCATTTTTGTTGTTGTTGTTGTTGTTTCTTGCGTCAGCTTTGAAGTTCACATTCGCTATATCATAAATAATTGCCTGCCCCCCAAAACTGAACTGTATACATTATAGGCACACACACACACACACACACACACACACAGAT